GTATGTGTGAGAATCCCTATATCGTACTATTGCCTGTTGATTCGATATCTCATATGTGGAATTGTTGCCGATTGCATAACTGGCAAAATGAACATGTGCAAGTGTTGTTTTCGGCTTGATGACTGATAGAATGTTGTTTGTTAGGGAAGATTATTAGTTTGTTTGCAGTTAGATAGGGCATCATTATATGGGCTAGTTTAATTTTAGTGTGCAGAAATGGGTATTAATTGGTAATGGGTGCTTGGGGTTCACTTCTGATATTGCTGTGTAGCAAATTTGTGTCTTCACATTGAAAATGAAGAAAGTGACCAAATTTCGCACATCACATAAAGGAAGACATGGAGATGAGTTTTTGTCTTCATCTCCACAAATGTATTTGTTGCATCTCATTGAGTGTCCTGGAGGACCAGCTAACCAAATCCTGTTAATAAAAGGGAAAAGAAATGCTAGAAGAATGCGCCAGGCCACAAAACTATTCGACAAAATTTTTCATGGCTTGCACACCTAACTGTAACTCTGGACGCTAAATGATTATGTTGCACTCAATTTTGAGAATGCTGAGTTACTATGTTGTTCTTAAATTATCAACTTTGGAGATACTCTTCCTTTTTGGTTTATAAATGCTTCACTTTTTTATAGATAACCAACCTTTCAAATGTTCATTCAGGTACCCTCCTTTTTCATTCGTAAGCTCATTACTCAGGTTTTCTCTTTCATCAATATACAACTCTTCAACAGGTAAACCTTGGATTTTAACGTTCTGTTTTTAGCATGTAGATCCTTATTGTAGATATCATTTTAAGCCCTCAATTGTTCTGCTCAGTCTTCTCCTGCGACGAGAATGTTGCACCTTTTCAAATGGCGAGTATGTAAAATCTGGTCTGGCAGACCTGGAGAAATGGATAGTGAATGCAAAGGAGGAGGTAGTTGGAGTTATTTGCCTCCTAAATTCTTTATACAATAATTGACCATTTCTTCAGTGTCTGAAATGTTGGAAACTATAGTATGCAGGAACATCTTGGCACGAGCTCAATTACATCAGACAAGCTGTTGGATTTCTGGTATGAGCTAATGTGTTTCGTTCTCATTGTATACTCAGAAATCATAATTTTCTCCCGTGTACGTTTCAGGTGATACACCAGAAGAGGAAAAAGTCTCTAGAAGAAATTAGGCAGGATCTGTGTCCAGTAGGTCTTCTACTTGTTTGCTGCTGTGAGATATTTTCTTATCCATGAATCACATTTTTTTAAATTCAAATTAATGCCATGCTTCCTTCATTTTGGACAGGCATTGACTGTGAGACAAATATATCGAATTAGTACAATGTATTGGGATGATAAATACGGGACACAAAGCGTCTCGAACGATGTGAGTATACTTCCTATCTGAGGTTTGCTGAGTTGTTTTTGGGAGAGAATCTTAAAAGCTATGTGCTCATTAGGTGGTTGCCCAAATGAGAGAGATCCTGAACAGGGACAATCAAAATCTTACCTCAAATTCATTCTTGTTGGACGATGACCTCAGGTAAATTGCATACCATAAGCCTTTTGCATAGGGGTTGAGTAATGGAAAAAACAGAGGAATACTAGAAGTTGGTTGCAGTGTTGCTTTCAGTCTGTAAATCAAGGTGTAATTATATTTAGTCACAATTGTTCGACATGCAATTATGTAGATGCTGTTTTCATCTCACCTGCAAGAAAATCCACCATTCACTTTATGGATTTGGAGTTTGGTTGGAAATATATACAGATAATGTCTTAGGCTACAAAACAGATGAAATTTGGGGCCCATATTGCTGCCTGTATGAAGTTAAATATAGTTGTGTAAATCACTGTATATGTATTCAAAGTTACTTCAGATTATATTAAATTTATTCCAATCATGAATGTTGGTGTGATTTTAGAGATGGCAATAGTTTATCTGGTTAGTGTCTTTTACATTTGGTAACTTAAGTATGCCTTTTTGTGGTTAGTAATTTTTTTCAGGTTTAAGTTTCAATGAAGAGAAGTGTTTTTGCCTTATGACCTTTACTATAAATGAAACTCATGAGTGTTTTTTTTTTGTTGGCAGCATCCCGTTCTCAACTGAAGATATTGATATGGCGATTCCGACTATAGATCCTTCAGATATTGAACCACCAAGCTTTTTGTCCGATTACTCTTGTGTACAGTTCCTCATCCCGCATCAGAAGTAAAGATGGACCTCTTGTGTTGTAAACTGCACCGTCACCTTACTCAATGACCGTACGTCCCTCTGTTGTACATACTGATTCTTTCAGGAAAAAAAAAACACGGAAACCAAAAAAGCAGAAGCAGCTCCGTTCCTCACTTGTTGTGAAGATGTCTTCTCTTGCTCAGGAGAAGGAAATGCATCTGGGGTCATCGGTAAGTTTTTTGTGAAATAGGGTTCTGGTTAGCTTCTTAATTGGTGGGACTAGTATTGATTGGTTGGAAAGGCAGATCAGTGGTATTCTTTGTTTCACAGTTTAGTTTTGTAGACGGGGGGTCACGTATATTTCAGAATTAGGTGGTCATTTGTTTTTACTGGAAAGGCTGCTTCCTCTTTCATTGGGGCTGTCCTTTCAAGTTTGTACATACATCCCTAAAATAGTCTGTCCTAGGTTACGCTCCATTGCCTTTTCTTTCTATCATTAATTTTGTTAATTGACTGGCAATACGAAAAACAGGTGATGTACATATAACTGTAGTCAATCCATGTGATCATTTTTATCTGCGATCTGTTTGTTTGTTATCACATTCGACGTGTTTTGTATCATCTTTAATTGATTTACTTCCTTGCCATTCAAGACATTCGTAGAAACATGATTTAAGGTTTTGGCCATTGGTTGATCGAGAACTCCAGATTTCATTTTGGTCGATGTGAAAAGTCTTGAAAAAGTCCCGATCATGTTTTGAACTTGTTGCTGGTGTAATTCCGACGTAGGAAAATAGCACGTGGCAGGTGATAAAATATTTCACATTGGAGCCATGCTACGTCGAAGTTTCAATGCTTGAATTTGCCAGCGGGCGATCTCTAGACTGCATTGGATGTTTTTCAAATGTTAAGTCCTTAATTGATAAAACCAAAATCTCAAGTCTTCGATTGACAAATAATCAGAACTTTTTAAGTCGTGTTTTAATTCAACGCGTACATGATTTGTTGTCATATTTAAAGCTGTGCATACGATAACATCGGAAGATACACACAAGTGTCGTACCCTTCCCACATTGAATGCACCAACTCTCACGATCCACGACTTCTATGCTCGGTTTTGCTCGTGTACTTTAGAAAGATGACTAAAAGTCTTAATTGTGAATCATGGATTTCTACTTATTGATGGATGGAGAAACTTAGATTAATAGAGGCTGTTTAATTTTTTTGCAAAGTCTTGGGCTTTGTTTGTTTAATGAAAAATGAATTATTTGGAAATATTTTTTTTAAAATGATTGTTTGTATCGCTTGAAATAATTAATTAATAGAAAATATCTTCATTAACGGTAATAATTTATGTCTGAACGTTTTGTGGACAACGAAAATATTTTTCGTTCATACATTTTTGGATTGATAACATTAGCATATGAGAAATTGCTCCCATCTACGAACTTGAGCTCGATTTGCTGTCCGTGCTTTGAAATCCCACATGCGGAGGACTATTCTGCTCCACCTTTCAGATGTATTGGCGCTTCTGGAGTACGCTGTAAGATTTTTTGTTTGCATGAGTCGAAATGCGAGACTCGAAAAGGGTAGATTGTAATTTGGAATCTCAGTGTCATTCGACATTGTTCATTATTCCCTGATGAAAGTAGAACATCAAACTGAAGTGGATATACACTTGTGCTTATTATATCATTGCTAGAGTGGTGCAGCATCCATTTCAAAGAATCAGAGATGGTACTATGGTCCATCTGCAACAACTGTGCTACTCATTTTCTTGCCCTCAAGTCTGTTATCAGATTCGATGTCGGAAGCTCCTTCGTTGTCATATGGTGATCTTCATTTCCTAGCTCCCCAGATATCCAACCTGAAGCTCCTATAAGCCAAATTCAAATGCATCGACGCAACGGATATGGATGTTGGATGAGACATCGAACATGAATCTTGATCCATGTACTTATCGTTAAGTCGATCGGTACAAGAAACACCAATGTTGAAGGCGGTAAACATCTTACATAAAAGCATGGTGTAATCTTCTTGGCTATCGATTTCAGTAGGACATTAGGAGGCTAGTGCAACGAACGCGAGATCCGCCAAAGTACGTTGACGATCACGAATGGTGTGAGGGCCAATCCACCTAAAGCACGTCAACTCCAGTATTCGACTTTGCTTGCCTCCACATTTCAAGTTGTTAAGGGCTTCCAACCCCTCTCGGGTAGACATGACTAGGCTTCCGCGACCACCGCTTAAGCCGCGAGAAAAGCCTCACAAACAAAAGGGCGAGAAGCACGGTGTTGACAACCGCGCTTGCTATCGCATGTTGCTTGCCTCGACCTAAAGAGGGGCTGGAGGATGTCGTTGACGGCAGGAATCGAGAGAGATGCCATAAATGGCGTTTTATCTAGTTGGGAAACAAACACCTCAATGCATCTAACCTCTTCACTTTGCTTCCGCTGACAACAATAGACGCTAGTAAGGAGGCATGGCTAAGCCGAGCACAGTTGCCGCAACATCCCGACTAGTAAGGAGGCATGGCTAAGCCGAGCACAGTTGCCGCAACATCCCGACGTGCCTCGCTTCGCTGAAGCTGCTCACATTTCTCTCACTTCCCGAGAAGTGTCGAACAGTTTACAGCAATACACGCATTCACTATTGGAGCCTTTGTTCAAAGTACGCGCTCATTCTGATTCGGAGAGTTCACTCCAATGATTCGGCAAGTGAGAGATTGGTACACGTCTCTCTCTCTCTTCCCCTTCTCTTTCTTGCAAAATTATTTGAGGGCATTCTTGAATCATTTGATAAAAAAAACCCCAAACCCTCGAGGGAACGTGCTTGAAAGACCGCGATACATGAACAATGATTTTATAAACAAACAGACAATATGAAAGAATTCACAAGAGTACTTTTCCCAGGTAAATCAAAGAGAATAACAAAAAAAGCAAAGAATAATTTCAAATCGATCGTGCATTTTAAGTAATGAGAATTCAAAAATTCCGAGCCCGCGAGAGTGTGGTAAACCTTGCCTGCTCTGACAGCAGTATGCAAAACCTCCATATCTCCAAGTGTGTAGATCCTCCTTTCTCAAACCGTTTTCAATTGTCACAACAGACCGGCCTCGAGGAGATTCCTTCTTCTCAAAGTCTCATCTACGAGCTTGAACGTCTTCTTAACGAGTTTCTGATCGAGTGCAGTTGTTCTATAGATCTTGAAGACCCGGTCCATCCGCTCGGGGGCTGTGCATTGGTAATATAACTCCTCAAACTTTTTCTTCACGAATCTGAAGGAAATGAATCAGGGAGAGAAATTAGCAATGAGTCGAGATGTTTATGAGCTCCCTTAGAGCTCTTATTTAACTATAACATGCTTTGAAATATCAGAAGATAAAGTTCCGCGCCTTTTAATGTCTCGTGTGTGAAATGAGTTGCCCCACGGCGCCCATCCAGAAGACCGAGAATATAATACAGAAAGAATCATCATCTTATTTCCACTAAGTCAACTAATCAACAAGCATATAATCCCATTTAGGTCAAATTCAATTAAGACAGACGAGCCTTCACAAATTGGGGAACTCATACTGCCCCAAATCAACTATACATATTCAGAAGTATTTTACTTTTAACAAAACGATCCTTGATTCAAAGACCACAATTTCCCTCATTTACAGTTGCCATGGATTAATGGTTCTTCCAAAGCATAACTTCCCATTCAAGCACGACAGTCTAGTTTCTATCACTCATATTCCAATCTAATATAGCAAAAAAACCATTAAGGCTTACTCGTAAGCATGTTCAATCTCTTGTTTCCCGGTTGAAACTGGCTCGTAATCTTTAAACCACTCGCACACATTCAAAGGAACCTGCACAATAATGACAACTAACAATGAAGGGAAATGGCTTTCAACAAGAAGATTACTCGTTATGGTCATATCAGCTATTACCTTGAGAACTTTTTTCTCAAATATATCAAACTTGTTTAGGAACAACATGAAAGATGTTTTCTGCAGGCAAATAAAGAAGCTGGCATAAGCACATACAACATTAACCATTTATTAGGCGTAAGAACTGATCATGAGAAAAGGAACAAACAATTAAACAGAAAAAAAGAACGATAATCCTAGAAAGAAATTTTCTATGATACAATATCATGTGATCATGCATAGAGACGGGACCTCAAAACACGGTTGCTTTAACACCCAGTCAAAGAGTTCCTTGGTCTCCATCATCCGGTTCCTGTTTTCATCCTCAAAGAGTGTCTGATCATACCTGAACATTGCAATGCAGTTATGAGTTCACGTATAAGTTTGTTGCCTAAACCATACACTTAATTATAGGGTTGTCAAAGGAATTGAAGAACAAATACATTTCACAAACAATAATATTAGGCCATCAAAAACAGAGTTGAATATTTCAACTGTTCCTTAATTATTTCCTCTGGTTCAAGTTTATGTCACTTGAGTCCCATCATTCAGTGCCAAACAAAGGCAAAAAAAAATCATCCACTTTCATATTACAAACTTGTGCACCATCTCTAGTTTTAGTGATATTCAAGATAGATGCAGAAGAGTGGTGAGTTTTAGAAAGCAAATGCAATAATTTCAGGACCTAGCAAAAAGGGAATAACCATCTCAGACAGAAAAGCAGGCATTAGATTTTACACACTCTGGCCATCTGTTCAGGAATCGAAACAAGAGTTTAGATGTCGTGAGCAAAAAAAGGTCAAAGCTATTGTCTGCCAATGTGAAGGCTCGAGATGTGGCACCACTGGGCAAGATGCTTACTCACTGATGGCAGCACAGAAGATTACAGCTGATACACCCTCAAATAAATGGATCCATTTTCTTCTCTCGTTTCTTTGGCCTCCAACATCAAAGAGTCGATATACTTCACCGCTTCTTTTATTTTCCCCAACAGGACTGCAAAAGTCACGTTCAAACCATATCAATGCATTTGTGCAACTCTGATTTGCTCCACCGACAACATATAAGTGTTTATAATCTTTCCGATGGATAGCATCATGGTGGCATGAAATTTCACTCATATGTAAACATAAACATCTGTCGATTAATGTTTTTATTCATATAATATATGCTAATCTGTACACTAGTTTCCAGCAAGCTTTTCTTTAGATACGAGGATAGAGGGATTTTTAGCAAAAAAAAAGAGGATAGAGGGCATGACCATACAAATGATATAATTGAACATATTGCAGCTGAAAATCTTAAAGTGGACTACTGACACATGTCTTAAAGAATACAACACTACAAACCAGAGAGTCCTCAAAAGACGAGTCAAGCAGTTATTTTTGCAAAGAGGTCATGCCAGAAAAATGTCTGTCTGCCATTGAGTACTTTTCAACATCAGACATAAGATTGTCTCGAATCGACTGCTTCCATTAAAGCAGGAACGGCTTCTGTCATGTTTGATTGTTGAGTGGAATTAGCAACGACTATGAACAGTTGCATTGACATTTTTGGACATTAGAGTAAAATATCATAAAAATAGCGAGAATAAAAGGTTGCCAGACCCAGTCTCTGTGCAGCAAAATATTCACCTGAACTGGATCTCTACCACACCAGTAGTGCGTACTCTGGCATAGAGAACATCATCCTGCAAAATCAAAGTACCTCAGAAGACAGTAAAGAAGCACCACCAAGAACTAGATTAAAAGATAGTGCATTGTATTAATACAGAAGCAACCGAACAAACAGCAACATGGCATTATCCAGTAACAGGATGAAACCCCTGAAAGACCCTAACAAGTGGAGAAACCATCTAGCATAATTGACAAACAGTGCAGAGAGAGAAATAACAAAAAGCGTCATAGCAAGGTAACTTCTAGATCTAGTGATCTGCCGTTCTTATGGTTCATTTCTTTTTATTGCTCAGCCAAAAACCAACCACAATGCTTCAACAGAAATATGAACACATCACAGGGCCTCTACCGATAGCAGCAAGTGAAACCTCAGACCCATACGATAGAAGACCTTTTTTATCCTAATCATGTGCTTGCTGGAACTCATTTTACTAGAAGAGCCACTCATTTCAACCTTTTAAGACTGTTTGTGATAGTCAACCAACTCAAATTGAGGTGGGGCAATCGTAGAAGATCTGTCTCAGAATGTTACAGAGTTCTAGCTACTTCAATTGCACAAAAATTAATGACTTGTCTATGAACCCAATACAAATTATACGGATCATATCTTCATTCTTTCTACAATGACGGCATAAAGTTATAGAGAGCATGATGAACATCAGATACCTTTGTTGGGACATAATTGATGTCAGAAAATCTTTGCAGGTTCTCCATAAAATACTGAGCACAGTCAGGAACTTGAAACCTATAACCACAGGCAAAAGTCTCCTACAGCATAGGAGGTACAAAAGAAATGATCAGGATGCTTCATACAGCAAATTGTTAACACTGAATTGAGAAGTTGGGAAAAAGTTATTGCTTTTGAAGCAAGACGATCATTTCATTTCAACTGCAGGAAATAACAACCTGAATTGCGTCGTCTTTCCACAAACTTTCGATCTCCTTAGCAAGCTCTTTAGTGAGGCGTGGATAATCCAACCTGCCTCCGATTTCCGACAATTTTTCTCCAATACCCTGTGCGAACATAAAAGTTTAACACCGGTAGATTTAGCAGTAAAGCCTGCTTATTTTTTTCTAAATCATCTGGTAGATTATATTTAGTTATTGTCTACAGATATAATGCTTCAATAACCGACTAATAATTTTTTCATAGACACTAGAAAAGGTCGAGCTTCAAAACCTTGTTTTCATTGGCTATGACGTACTTTGACGAATCTCCATCATTTTGAGCCAATTCCTTCGACCCATCGTGCAGTATCTGTTCATGCATATTCACATGCCTTTAAAACATAGGTTATGGCTTGTTACATGATTCTTAGCGCAAGAATTACACCTTATATGAATCTAAGGTGCATTATGCAAATGGAAAACTGACACACCCTTTCAAGTATTGCATACTTTTATTGTCTGATAGACATTTGCGTGTATAACTGGGACATAACTCTTTAGTTCAGTCTCGTCAAAGCCAGTTTGGAACAGAAGTTTTATCTGCACAGGATAATGCACAGTAGAATCCAATATTAGGACTTCCACTTGACAAAATAGTCCAATTTCGATTGGGGTGAAGACTCAAGAGACTATAATGCATTACCTGCTTGAAAATGGTAGACTTCCCTGATTCTCCAGCACCTTCACACAAAAACATGGAAAAATTCGAGTTAGCCAAAAAGATTGCATATAAGATAATCGATACAAATGGAAGACGCATTGCATTGCTATAAGTTTATGAAGATAAAAGAGGCAAAAAATCTATCGATTTGACATAATTTAGCTCATTTAGGACAAGAAACTTTGCACTTCAATGGACAAAAGCGCATCAATTCCCTAAACAATTAGCTGGCATAGAGCATCCAGCCAAATAAAAAAGAGGGGTTGCTTGTGCTTATAGCATCATGTTTTCCACTCAGCTTCTTCAAATGCGTTAGTAAAAGGACAAGACAATGAGCCTCAGTTTTCTGAGTTCTCGTAATCAGCGGGCTTAATCAAAGCAAACTAGCGTCGTTAATACTTCAACAAAGCAAAAGTCTCTAAACGAGGTTAACACCTTGAACAATATTCTCTCATCTCATTTTAAATAGGTGATGTTGAAATATTCCGCATCCCTTGACCACGGGGTTTATATGCTCTTAATATACATACGGTTTCCCTCCACTTATAAGCTTAAGTTTTTGGATTAAACTTTCTAACATGGTTCGGAGCCAGGTTCTACCCCAATTTATTTCGCATGAGTCCACCCTGTTCGTCAAATTGCACTTGTCATTCTTAATCGACTTGCACGTGAGAGGGGGTCTTGAAACATCGCTTGACTAGGGTGTTGAAATGTCGCTGGACTTTCCAATAGGTGATACCGCATTTTTCCAAATACGATTTTCTTAAACTGCAACTTTGTCAAATATTATATCCAGGGATCCATCAAAACACCCATTTTCTCATCATCCGGATCCATAGTAAACTTATGCATGGAATCTAAACCACATGCTCCATGTACACTATTTAAAAATCGTGGTAGGTATACAATAAGAGAGTAGCCTCAAAGTCATGTTCGACACAAACTAAACTATCTTCGCATGGCGTAAATGATAAACATCATCCACACATATTGCCTCTCTTGGGACCTTTTCCATATGATCTTGAAATCTCCACATTTTTCTTGTATTTAGTCCAATCTCTTTCCAAAAATCTAACCTAGTAAAGGATTATCAATTTTATCTTTTACCAAGTAGAAGAAGTTTCTGAATGTGCTTTTCAGCCTTTGTTTCTTGCTCAATCCGTCTTTCGATTTCCACAGCCTGCAATTGAAGATGCACAATCAAACTAAGGGATCACAGCAAGTGAAAGAACCATTATTAGTTAAGAACAAGCACAACTTGGCTACATAGCAATAGGACGTATTTTCAGCATCCAACTGGTTACGTAATTACCTGTGCATTCTCTTCTGCATCTGCATCATGATACCGACGGTTTCTGCTGCAGAGCAATCCCATGTTTTCTATGACAGTAGACAGCATAGAAAAAGCAGCTACCAAGCTCACCGACTCCGCTACTTATTTCCTCCTAAAGCTCCTGGTCATAACGTGCTCTAGATTGGCTAGACTTGAGCCTAAAAGGAGCCAATACGAAATAATTCCAATTAGAACCTGTTCGGGGGAACTCAGCCACATTTGACATCAAACTGCAAGATATGTACTAAGTTAGTCCAGTTCTGGATTTTACAAACCAAATAAATTTCCATTTGCCAAGAGTACAAGAGTGCCATAATTTTCACAGAAAGTGGGTTGCCAGCCAAAAACATGTCACTTCTTGGCCTCAGAGCCTATCAGTTAGACATATTTCTTTTTTCCCAACCAAAACAGTAGATGATTCATATCTCCTGCTAAGGTAAGCCCGCTCACCTATATTCCTCTATATCAATAGGTCGTTTGGTTCAGCTAGTAAGAAGTCAAGGTACCTTCTCACTTCCGCCACAATCAAAAAGCCATGAAAAATCTCTACACGAATTTAAACATCCATATGCACATTCCATAAAAGACTTGACCAATTTAGGTGTCAAACAAAGAGTCAAACCCCCGGTCCCTAAGAACAGGAGTATAATCGGAAAATAGAGCAAAACACCATTCCAGAATTCCAGAGGGGAGAGTGATGGGAGGTCTAGTGGAGGTAAAAGTCCATGAGAGTCATCAGGCCACAAGAAGCCCCCTGTCAACAGCAGAATCAAAACACTCCGAAAATCGCCAGACAACTTATCCCAAGACTTATTTAATCCGGTCTCTCTAATCAGCTCGACGTACGAGGATTCTGGTCTGAATTAGCTATTCTGCTGGCGAAATGTAGAACTAGACCTCCCCCCTCTCTAAGTCTATCTTCTTTCCATAGACCCACCAAAAAAAAAAAAGAAAAGAAGAAATAGCAACTAATTGCTCCCAACAATGCAAAGCACATTCCCTCCTCTCCAGAAGCAAATTCCAGCAAAAGACACAGCCGACAACGCAATCCCCCCCCCCCCACCGGAATCACGGCCGCGTCCTCGTCGCTCCGATCCCACACGCCGACGCCGACGCCGCCGCCGCCGCAAACTCACGGACCCACCGCCGGCGCGCGCAACACACCAAAAGCGCGCGACACGCGCAACCGGGCCTTATCCTAACACAGCCAGAACGAAGGGAAAGTCCTCCACCCAAAATCGAGCTCGGAACGGCAGCCCCTCGACAACAATTTACCCGACCGTTCCGGGAGGGAAATTCCCCCCCAACGAAGCTCCCGACGACACGCTCAACTCAACCGATTCGCGCTCGGGCGAGAGGAGGAGGAGGAGGAGGAGGAGCGGCGAGAATTCGCAGGCTCGATCTACGCGCGCGCGGGGCTGCTCGAAAGATCAGGAGCGACAGGGAACCCCGGAAGGATCTAGGCGACGCCATTCGAGGAATCGAGCTCGCTTACCTACCGCGCCGGGGCTTAGTCACACTTCGAGCGAGCTTCTTCCTTCGACTTCGAGTACGTACAGAGGAGGAGGAAGTGGAGGAGGAGGAGCGAGGATTTCGTGCCCCCACCACCCCCCTAGATACCGCCTGCTCGGAGGAAGAAGCCAAAAAAGAACACGAGCGCCAGTTCAATTTTTAAGGCATTACGGCTGGGATTATCGGGATTTTTTTTATTAAAAAAAAGAAGAAGAGAGAGAGTGTAAGGTACAGAGGAAGGAAGGAAGGAAGAGGTAGAGAGAGAAAGAGGCTGAGAGGAGGGAGAGAGCTTCGAGGGAAGACGACAATGGCGGTTGGTTTTAGAGTGAGAGAGAGAGATTGGCGAGGGAGGGAGTTCGGAAAGAGATGGGAAGGGGGGAAAAAGAGCACCGAAAGCTGCCACGAGCTTTTCGGTCTTCGGGAGGAGTCCCCCTCCGGTCAAAGACTCCCGAAACACCCGAAAAAAAAGAAAAAAAAGCAACATATTCCCACGCGTTGAAATAACATTTCTTAATTTGACCAAAAAAATTAGCATTTGTTAATGTTTTTTTTTTTATCTATGTTACTCTAACTCTCGACTAGTTCTCATATTTTTACCCTATCTGGGCGTGGGAGTTGAAACCCACATCTGAAATTACACGTCCCCACCCCTAGTCCCCTAAAAAGGTGGAGATTCGAACTCTTCACATCTCCTTTCCCAAGTAGAAAATGTGGCCACTAATGCAAATCCCAATGGTTACATTTGTTAATTTGACCCCTAAGCAAAATAACATTATTAATTGGACCAATAATAATAATCATTATTTATCGTTAATATATTCGCTTCGCTCGTTTATATATTATAAACGCTCTTCTGGCTCCGTTCGTTTCGCGAAAAAAATGAACCATTCGAAAAACAATGGAAATTATTAACGCTTTCTGTGAGCGATGATGACGACAAGTGACAACAGTTCCTTTTTTTCCCGTCCGTTCATTTCCGTAAGCGAAACGAGCGACCATTTTTTCAGGAAAAACGTTCATCCCGAAACGAACCGAGCTTTTATGGATAAGTTAAAAGTTTATTGAGCCTGACACTGTTCCGCCCGCCCCGATTCATGCTCGTCCGGTTTCACGTGTCGAGTCCCAATCCGGCTCGGTACGTTTCGTTTTTCCCTCGATCGAATGGACCCCGAGCGCTTCGATCACTTGACATCGGCGCGAGAAGATCATCGTCGGGGTGCTCGATGAGTCCAGTTAGAATACTTCCACAACTGTGAATAAGAATGATTGAGAGTGCATAATTTGACAAGATGGGATTAATCAATTAATTTTTCCTTTGTTTTGGTGTTTTTCGGCACGTGAAAAGGCCGGGTACAGTGAACAGCGGTCTTGGGAAGAACACTATCATTGACCAATATCTCTTCCCCTGTCGTTCAGGCAGTTGACTGGTCTTCGCCTTTCTCTTTCCTTCCTCTTTGTTTTTTTCCTCACCCCCCTCCCCCCACGACCGCTAAATAGTTCCATTGGGGGGGCGGATTTTCCGGTGCGACGCGGCGTGCGACGATACGATGGCCGCCCCGCTCATCCCCGCCGTTGATTCGCATTACTTTTTGGAGTCGACCGATTAAAAAATGGATTACAGTCAATGTCCCAATAAATAACGTCCAACATAACAGGCAACATCCTAACGTTTGAGCAAATGGTAGATTGAGCTCATATGTATTGTGGAGAATGGAATTATTGAAAGCGGCCTATGCTCACTAGATTCTCCGAGCATGAAAAATGTATATAGCGAAAAATCCCGATATCTCTTTTTAAATCTCTTGAAAAAGGTACAAAATTGTTGCTTCAAATCGGCAAACTCTGATCCATTCGAATGTTTTTTTAGGTATTTTTCCGGTTTGGGTAGCAATATTTACAAAACTCATTTTATGTGGAAGACAAATGAGCACCGCGTTTGGTTAAGCCCTTTCAAGGACCCTCACCCACGCCCCTCTCGCCCATGCCCCGCGCTCTCCTCTGCAGGTGCACATGAAAGGCTTTCGATTCAAGAGAGATGCAGAAGCCATAAATTTAACCAGGGAAATGAAATCATACCAAACCTATTTCTTTGTTGTCTTGACCCGCCGATAAGTCTCCGTGAAAAAATTCGCGCATGTCCGAACTCTCTCAAGCGCAAATCCTATCTGAAGCTCCATCATCCCCATTCCGACTTTGATCATCTTCTCATCCAACCCATTTTATCGAGCCGCATTAGAGTAGACAAACTACCAAAGTTGCTCGCCTCTGGCTTCGACGGAGAAGCGGAAAATGAGGCAAACTGCTCTCCTTTATCGTTGCCGCCTTCCTTCCTGCCCTAGAGGATTAGGAAATTTTTTTAAAAAATAATATATATATTTTTTTTACCCAAATTTTGCCAAACTTTAACGGGTATAACTTTTTCATCCGAAATTCCATTGAATCGATTTTTGCACATATGAAAAGCCCGTGACCCAATTATTGTAAAAATGTGGTTCGATTTTTCAAAAATAAAGTGTCGAAATATCAAATCGAATTGAATAGACGGCCATGAAATTTTTTTTATTAAATATCCAATGGCCATGATCAATCCTAATGTCAAGCCACACGGATCCCGATTTCTATATTTCAAGCACATTTCATACTCAAAATGATTGAGGATTCGGTAATGGGTAGATTCATGGTGGGGCTACGTAGATAATCCATACAATATACTCATATTCTTCTACTGAACAAGCTTTGAGTTACTCATGTTCTTAGTCCAATAAATTGGTCTTAGTGTTCTCGGTGCCTTGGGTGTCTAGCACATCTACCTGAAATCAGTGCCTCCATGCTTGTAGGGAGTGCTATTAAACGCGTGCAAGAATTCAACTAAAGTAACCTAAGACCAGTCAAGCAAGAAAAGGAAGGTGGAAGGGATGCGACTGACATATTAAAACGAGTATTTGGATAGACAATAAGAATTATTTAAGATCCTCATGAAATTGAAATTTCTTTGCAAGAGCAAAGTTGAAAATTTTGTGCAATTTGAAGACAATAAGAATTATTTGAGATCATCATGAAATTGTAATTTCTTTGCTGAAGCAAAGTTGAAGGATTTGTTCAATTTGATGTTCTCAATAGATTGCACAAGTCTTTACCATAAAAGAAATTCAAGTTGCAGACGCTCACTCTTCTTCATGAAATTTAGGGTCCAATTACAAAGCTCTTCATTCATTCAGATACCTTTTCCTCTTCGCACTTCTTTCTAATAAAGATACATTAGCCATATCATCCAATATGCCGTGCCCTTTATCTAGTGCATATGCTCGATGAGTACAAGGCAAGGTACTTCTCAGCTCTACTCGCTCGAAGCAATGATCAGGGAGTGGATGACGACTGTTTCAAGTCGGTCACATACGAAAAGGGGGAGTTCAGAGATTGCTACTCCGAGCCTCTCGAGCTAGGGAGTTCGGATTTGGTCGAGATTATGGTCCTAGACAGTTGCTTCTTGATCGAGTGCCTTCGCATCACGGCAAGGACAGTAAGAGAGGACCCGGACGATCCGATCTATGGTTCTCGGGGCATGTTCATGTTAGTGATCACGGATTTTTTTATGCTTGAAAACCAAATTCCTTTCTTCGTCCTCAATATCCTGCGTCCTCAATATCCTGTACGAACTGTCAAAGTCTCCGGTAGAGGAATCTTGTAATCTTCAAGCTTTGGTGTTGGATGTCTACAATAAGAGATTCTGTAGGTGGGGATCAAGATATGCTGCCGTACCGCAACATCTCAAATCCAAGACACTTGCTCAATCTACTCCATTCTAGTTTTGCTGATATGTTACGGAGAAATGCCTCTGCTAACACTCCATCAAATAATCCACAAATATGTCATAGTCTTCAGGGAACAATGCTCCATACAAAAAGCACACATTTTATCCTCCCTATTTAAACTATCATAACATAAAATATTGTGTCCATCCGTTCGGTCCGATCTTGGAAATTCGTGATCGTGACACTATTTTTTGAAAATAGAAACACATTTTTGAAATAGTAGGGTGATGGGCTTTTCGTAGGTACAAAAATCGAGTCAATAGGACGTTAGATGAAAAATTTACGCACAGTCAAAGTGCGGTCAATTTTGGGTACAAAAATGCATAAATATCAATTTCAAAATATTTCCCAATTACATGATTTGAAATGCTTAACCTAACTTTTTAATCATCTAAATTTGCGTATGTTCAATTAGCAAACTAGAGGATATAATTACCCGACTGAATAGCTTGTACTTTTTATAGTAGTAATAGTAATTTAGTAATATGATTAGCTAATTGGGCTTGGTTTTGAGAATAGTTTTTGTTAACAAGTATCCAATTAAAAAGTAATAGTTTTTAAAATATTTTGAGTATGAAAGAAATTAGTGTTTTAATAAATTATACAAGTGCTCAAGAGATACTTTTAACATTTTCCTTAGAAAATGTCCACCAGTTGACAAGCGATCAGTTGTACCGATTCCAAATTCGCAATTGCAATTTATTTTTAGGTATGATACGAAAGTTGCAAAGGATGACTCAGCCAAAGGTTCGCGCGGTTCGGAATGAGCTTTTGTGTCCGAAGACCGCCTATGTGACATCCGAAATTTTCTTCGTAGTTTATGACATTTAAGATATTTAGTAGTGAGAGTTATTGAGGTAATAAAATTAGTTTAGTAATTGTCAACGGGGACCAATACGCTCCAAAATATGTATCGAATGATTTTCAATTACAAATTTTATTGAGTTAAGGTATTACTTTTATGCTATACTTTTTATTAATGATTTTAGCGGTTCTAGAATAATTTTCTGATTTATCGGCATTTCAAACGAATACCGATTTCTCTGTTTATTTACCGCAATGTATGGTATATGCCCAAAATAACCTAATATCTTCCTCTATTCAATTAAATTATGCTATTTGTCACTACATTAGCATGAATAAATGTCTTAATTCTCACCCTATTTTTGTCACATGCCTAATTTAAATGCTTTGAATCTAAGCCCATGACATCATGCATGACCTATTATATTTTTAACTCTAGTAAGTTATTATCTAAATGTAACTATAATTATTTGTTATTATAGTTTTTAACCCAAGTCATTTAATGTGACCCCAAAATACTTTTCATTGTGGCAAAATTTTGAAAGATAAGAGACTAAAAGGCATTTCTTCTTCTTCTTCATGTGGACATCACTCCCTTCTTCTTCTTCAAGTGAAAATTTTCTTTTTCACTCTCTTTCAACAAAGAAATGAAAGTTCAAGCTCACTTTCAATCTAGTTTCTTGACAAGGTATATTGTTGGACTTCCCTTTCCTTTTTCTTTATCAAATAAGCTTTGTTGTTATTTTTAATAATAACATTTGTTAATTTTTAGTATCTATTTTGATTTCAAGGTGGTTAGAGGCTTGCTTTGTTGAAGATTTCACTTTGTGCAAGTGAAAACTCTAAGGACTAAGCTAGAATGATTTATTTAGTACTCTTGCTCTTGGTTGATTGATTGTTTGTTATTTAGTTTAGATCTTATGCTATGTGTGAACTAGTTTCAATAGATATATGTTAAGCTATGGTGATTGTTGAGCTTGAAGTAAAAAGCTTTTCATGTGCTTGGGTGGTCCTTGAGAGATTATTAAAAGGTTTTGGTGTATTTTTTAGTAGGAAAAGTGTGAAAATGGTAAAACTAGGCATAAAAAGGGTATTTTGCTAATTTTCTTGTTAAGGTAAGGGAGAATTTCGAATTTACAGAAATGAAGAGGGGCTGTGAACAGTGTTATTTTATGATTTTTAGTGTTAATTAGTGGGTTATTAAGTATTATTAATTAAAGGAAATCAAACCGGTTGAAAAAAATGAGTTTATAAGCTTTAGGGGCAAATTTGTAATTTCATTAAGTTGAGGGGCAAATCTGTAAAAAATGGAAGTTCTGGGGACTGTTCACAGCATGTGAAACCTCATCTTGATAAGTGGTTAAGTTAGTTTTTATAGTTAGTTTTTATAGATAATTGCTTAATTAGGTCATATATTTAACTATGCAAAATTGAAGCAATTTGTATTAAGTAACTAAAAGTGGGCAGTTTTGAAAATTTTGTAAAATATGTGGTGTCTACAGTGTAAATAAAATATTAGTGTGTTTTAAATAGCATATAGTTTTTATTTTAATTATTACGGCTTGGTGGATTAAAAATAAAAAATTAGAGGTAAAATTATAAAATGAGAAATTTACTAGGATAATATTCTAATTCTAAGAATTAGGAATTATAGAAATAATCTATATTATATGTGGTAAAAGTGAGCTTAATCAAGGGGGTTTATAATAAATAATTAAATAAATGGAAATTAAATGAGATACTAAATTATGGAGTAGTGGTGTTTAAATGTTATAGAACTTGCAAAGGTTCTTCTCGAATTGATATTGGCTCGGTGAAAAGAAAAGGAAAGTTTTCATGTTGAAAGGTTCATGATTAATTGATTGTCTTGTACATTACGTGAAATGTCAATAGATTGATATGTCGTTGTTTGTGTTTGTAATTATGAAAATACGTGACATGTTTTGCGTTTGTAATTAATTATGTATGTCTTTGTTGTTGAGTGATTAAGACCTTTGCCACAGCCTATTCGTCACCGAGCGAATTTCCTTGTACAAGTTTATGGATAAGATTCTAGAGTTAGCCGGATGTTCTACCGTATGAAATGGTTCTCAACAAGATTGAAATGATATGAAATCCTATGATGACATGTCTCTTGTAGTCATGGTATGACATGACTTTGCCATGATATGATGTTAAGAAATAACCATAATCACACGGTTGTACAGTGGTGTATTTATCCTCACTAATGAAGAGGACACCCGTGATGAATGGACTGAGGCGTGGCAAAGGGTATGAATGATTCTATTCCCTATGAGTTGGTGGTGACGATGTCTCGTTAGTCAAGATGTCTCGTGAATTGAGATGATCCTACCCAATGACGAATGTGAATTTATATGTGTGAATCGATGAGATGTTGTGTGATATTCATGATATATAATATGCCATCTGCTTGCACCCGAGTGATTGATTTTATGCAATGTTATTGTTGTTTCATTGACACATCATGATTGGAAGGATAGTACATTTATTCATGTATTATGTACTGCCTTGAACTTATAATTATTGTTGATACCAGGTTGAGTAGCGAGTGAATCTTCTACCTTAGACTTACAGATTTCAATTACTGGGTCTCGGCTCGCTCCTTATTTTTCATATACGTAGGATGGATCCCTCGCCACCGCTGCGTTTTGGAGCTCCCATATTTTTTTTATTATAATTATGAAGATGTATTTATACCTAGATCACTAGTGGTTTATGCTACGTGTACTTTCGTTATATGGGTCGACGTAGGGTTACCAGAGTATATAATCTATCGTTATCTCGCTTGGTATGTTAATATCGAGGGCGAGTTAGTTGGATCACTTAGAAGCTTTGATGGTCTTTCAGGGTTTGGTGATGATGGCATGTCGTCGGGTGAGGTCATCGACCCTTAGTTGATGGTCCGACGGTGCACAGGCAAGCTTTTGGGCGTAGTAGTATAATGTTGAAGTTAAGCAATCCTGACCTTTCTCAGAAATTATGTATTTTGTTTTTTGGCTGAATGTTGTACTGTAGAACTGGTGATAATGTTTATAAAAAGATGCATATGTATTTTATTAAATTTATATGAGAATTTTGTAAATGCTTTGATATGCTTCCGCATGTTTTTAATAATTATTAATAAAAATTGGAAAAGACACGTGTCGCGCGTGATGTTTTGGGGCGTCAGAGCCTAGTTTGTTCCATATGAGCCGACTGTAACATCCGACCAGAGAGGTAAGTCGGTGCTGGGAAAGCAATGAATGGCATGTCTGTTCTATAACAAGAAGGTTGTAACTTGAATCTCCGAATCTCCCAGCCAGTCATCAATGGAAGATTCACTGAGAGAGTTGGATGATTAAAATCTATAAAACAATCGATACAGTTTGATTCCTCAACTTGAAAAGCAGCCCAGCTCAAATGATGAAAGTTATACGTTTGACTAAAGTGTAGTGTGTTCCCAATCCTTCCTTACAACTACCTCGAGGAGGTCAAGAAAGAGAGAGTGATAGTATATCAATTTTTCAATAAGCTTGCAAAATTTTGGTAAGGTTAATCCAAACATAAGTAATCATAGTGACAGGCTAAAGAGCTTATTGGGTCAAATTGGCTAAAGAGCTTATGGAGTCAAATTGGCAAACTCTAATCTATTCATATGTTTTTTTTGTTTTGAAGGAGCGAAATTTGGGTAGCAATATGACAAAACTCATTTTATGTCATAGGCAACAGCGCATTTGTCTTTGAACTTTTGTGCCCTCTCACCGAACTTTACCCTTCACATCATCTTTCCGGTTGTCAATATACGTCGAGCACAGCCTCTTCGTAACCTTATTTTTTTTTTTAATTTAAAAGAGTCCTAGATAGAAATTTCAAAGAGCTTGAATTATTCGATTCGATGAATCAACATCCGATCAAATTAATTTTTTTTGGGTCATATTTCTCGAATTAATTGACTCCCATAAAAACATAATACCGATGCGAGATAGAGAAAGAGAGGGATCCCATGAAGTGTCAACCAGAGAGACAAAGTGCCCGATGCCTTGAAAATGACATCGTTAATGTTTTGCAAGGGACAGATTTCTACATCATGCACCTAACTTAGTGGGACATTAAAATGTAACCAACCACCCAACTTCCAGCAACTTCTTTAATAATTTAACAGTTAATATCTATCTAGGACGAACATAAAATTATTATCTTAGGTAGGAATCATGGCGGCCCACATAAGAAACTTTCCACGATCTTGTTGAACTGTGCCGTGTCTTCCACCTGCGGCATGTGCCCTGTGTTCTTCATCACCTCCAATCTCACCTTCTTCCCCAGAAGCCTGCACAAATAACAATAATAATAACAATAATAATGATATGATAGTTGCAGTAAATTGCTAAAAATTACTTTTTTTAATGACATTTTTTTTTATTGCACGACGAGTAAGGTGACATGATGCGTAAAATGATCGAATCTTATCGACTAATTAAGTAAATAATCAAAGAAAAAGCACAGGAAAATTTCTGTAGAGCGTACTCCTTAAGTTCACTGGACATTTCCACGGGGAATATCTGGTCATTTTCTCCCCACAAAAGCAACACCTCCTGCAATATCAATTTCAATAGCGAGTCTTTAGATGAGCCCGAAATAAATCGAAATGGAAAAACAAAAATTCTGTTTAACATAATTATGGCGTAATAAATATATGATGATTTTGTGAGTTTCGAGTAGTACCTGTTGAAGGGCGGAAACGTGAGGCGTGTCGTCCTTCCCAGTGGTGGATCCCCTCATGAGCTCTATTTTTTCCTTCCTATTTTCCGAATATAATCTCTGCAAAAAAAAAAATAGCATTATGACGTCATATATTCGCAAAACTCCAGAAAAAACCACCGTGATTAGTGCCTTAATTACATGGACGACGTCATTCAACACGAAATCCGGGACCATGCTAGCGACGCGCCGGGACACGGCCAACCCCAGGAGCCTCCTCATGTTCGCGGCGGTCTCCGGCAGCATGACGTCGGCGGGGCTCCCCGTCCCGGCCCTCCTCGCCACCTCCTCGCCGTCGCTCCTCCTCCGGTTGATCCCCGAGCTGGCGATCACCGCCCTCTCCACCCTCTCCGGCCACATCCTCGCCATGTGGTAGGCCACGAACCCGCCGTAGCTCGTGCCCACCACGCTGTACCTCTCCACGCCCGCCTTCTCGAGCAGCTTCACGACCGAGGCCGCCTGGAAGGCCTCCGACCTCTCGGCGGACCTCGTGGTGGACCCGCCGAAGAAGACGAGGTCGGGGACGTACACGTCGAACATGGGGGCGAAGTGCTGCACCTGCCGCCGCCATTGCCATATCGCCTTGGGACCGAACCCGTGGACGAACACGAGGGCGGGTTTCCGGGACGATCGGGCGGGGCTCGGCCCCCAGAACTGGAGCGTGGTCTCGCCGTCCACGTCGACGGTCTGCTGCGACAGGCCCGCCTTGATCAGGCAACGGCGGAGGTAGCTCTCGTACAAGGCGACCAAGCTAAGGAACGATGGAAGCATGATGTCGTTGAGGCATGAATCTGTGAATATCCCACTGGTGCTTTCCTTTTCATGAACAAATTGCGATTTCGACGAGGAAAAGCCCTTCATATTTGGTAAAATTACGAATTTACCCGGTTTTTAACCTTTTTATATACGTAATATCTCGTACATCCATTTTTCGGAAAATCGTCTTTTATTTCATAAATTTGACTAATGGGTGTTTTAATTTAATAATACCCAATTTTCTTTTTTCTCCTAGTTGTCACTTAATTATTATCATCAATTACAATATAAATTGCCAAAAGAATGGGTTATTGGTTAAGGCCACGAAACTTCTTTTGTCGCAAAACATTCGATGTGTTATGCATATCTCAATACTAGAAAAATTAATTTAGGGTAAATTTATCACAGGTGTACCGGTTTGGGGTTTTTCATGATGATTAACATGGGGAGGCAAATTTATCTATCAGTCTTTTTTTTTTCTTTTTTCCTATTTTGCACATAAATTTGAAGTATCGCCTTGATTATAAGTGGGAAAATTAGACTTAATTAGTTCTTTCAAATCCTTATTAAAGCCGCAGGTTAATAGATGGAGGCATCATAATCATGGTCATAACACGGGGCCAACTATGCACGGAAGGATTAGGGTTGCAACCGAGTCAAGTCGACATAGCCGTTATGCATATCTCAATACTAGACTCGAGCTCAACTTGTCAAGCTTTGAGCCCGATTTCTCATAAGCTCGAACTCGACCGGATGGGATGGTTGTGATAAGCTCGAGCTCGACTAGATTAAGTCGTCGATAAGTTTGGGGTCAACTCGACAAGCAACTCATTTAGAAATTTGAGCTCAGACAGATCATGTTGTCAAGCCAATCGGCTCTCGGCCCGAGATCGTACTTATAGATGTCGGTATATGAAAGTATGAAAACCTAATGGCTCTATTAGATTAGAGAGGAGGAGGGTTTGATCTTGGGAATAGTCAGACATGATAATTAAGTGCTTAATATGCCTTGGACAAACAATACATTAGTCAAGATTGCAAGGTGGAAGTCCGAGAGCAAGGACCCACCTGCCTTTATCCACCAATAAGCTAGAGCTAAGCAAGCATACTTAGGATTAAGATTGATTGATTACAATGCAAGAAACTTAAGAAGACTCGTCACATAAGAAATCCTTGAGGATGCTGTTGAATCGCAGCGGATCTTCAATCTGTGGCACGTGCGCCGTGTTCTTCATCACTTCCAGCTTCACCTTCGTCCCCAAAAGCCTGAAAATTTCCAATTTGTTCTTTCTAAATCACTCGACTCCAATACTAATTTGATCGAAGAAATTTGATTTAGGCGGCGAATTAAGCTAGAAATTTAAACGATGTGATGGATATGCTAATCCAATTGGGGGTCATAATCGACGTAATGGACAATCTCCTAACTTAAACTTAGAAATTTAATGAAGTGCTAGATATGTTAATCCAATCGGGGGGTCGTAATTGACGTAATCGACAATCTCCTAACTTAAACTAGAAATTTAATGAAGTGATAGATACATTAATCCAATCGGGGGTCATAATCGATGTAATCAACAATCTCCTAACTTCAACTAGAAAATTAATGAAGTGATAGATATGTTGGATAGAGCATACATACTCCTTGAGTTCAGTCGCCATTTGCAATGGAAATAATTGGTCATGATCTCCCCAGATCAACAACACATCCTATAATAGTGGCAAAATTGAGATTAGTGACACCAATGGAGACATGTGAAAAAAAGGCAGCTAAATATGTTGTTTCAGAGATCCTACTTTTGTGTCTGTAAAAGAAAAACGGATATTTTTTTCCGTCCGGATAGATTTTTAAAAGAGTCGGTAAGTATAGAAAAATTACCAATGAAAAGAATTGCCGGCCACCCGATTTCCCATTTTCTTGTGGGTAACTGCTATATTTGTATTTGAAAGATTATACTATTTTGTTGAAAGAAAAATATATCTTTTTTTTTTCTATCTCGGGATATTTCAAAAGAGTCGGTTGGTCTGAAAAATCGTCGATTAAAAAAATAAATTGCTAGTTTCTTATGGATAACTTACCGATGTGTTTCTGAAATTACCGACTCTTGTTTGCAAATTGCCAATTTTTCTTTGCCTTTCTTACCGATGTTCTTAAATTTACCAACTCTTACATGAACTTATTAATATTCATTTGGGTGACCTACTAACTTTAGATGGTTTATTTCACATTAGAGTTAGTAAAATTCGGAGTGTTTAGTTAATTTTTTTTTTTTTTTTGATAACCGAGGTGTCCGCGCGGCCGGCGAGCTAGGACTCAAACCAGCGGTGATGCCCGACTAGTCCTCGAGGGGGGCTAGCGCAGCATCCCACCGCCACGACCCCCCACTTAAATCACCGATGAGCGAGTTTGAACCCAGGACCTCTCGTGAAAGGAACTGAGCGCAAACCAACGCGGCCACCGATGGGTGGGTGGAGTGTTTAGTTAATTATGCAAACAAAAGCCAATAAGCTAATACAAGAAAATTGTTAATTTGCACCAACAGTTTTTTTTAATCGTTTACCAACCCTAATCAAAATTTGCTAGCACGGCAAAAGAAAAAAAATGTTGCATGTTTTAAATATAAAATAACTAAACAGTAAAAATATATATTCTTTTGTAGGCTATGGGGTCAAAATTACCTGTTGAAGAGCAGAAATGCCAGGGTCGTCCTCCCTCCCAAGGGTCAATCCCTTAAGAAGCTCTATCTTTTCCTTCCTATTTTCCGAATATAATCTCTGCAAATTTAACGAGTCACTAATCAAATCCACCTTTATATTAAGGACTTTCTATCATATGATATGAATGTAGAACCACATAAAATTTCATTCTTTCTTTCCTCAATCATTCGTCCATTCTTCCTGTTATTTGCTACAAGACAACAAAGATGAGAGAACAGCATTCATGGAGCACGAAAAATGCACATTAATGGGCATCATCTGTACATGTGCAACATGCTTTCAGGAGTCCATCCAAAATAGTCCTGAGAGAGTGACAATTTCATCAAGTGAAACTCAAAGCAGGAAACCCCATGGTCCACAGCTTTTAAGCCTGTGAATCTCAGAGGAACATTCCTGGAAATTTCCTTCAAGAAGGTACACACCCTTCTCTTCTATCTCACCAAAAGGTGATGTGAACTACACAGCCAAATGATTTCTATTTCTTTCTGAGCTAACTTTAGTTACTGAAACCTTGAGCTGTGATGATCGTAGCTAGTATTGAATGTCGTCTTACCCACCTTGAATTGAAGCTATCTAACTTTTAGATCCAATAAGACTGATAAAGTTACAATTTGCCTACATGGGGTCAAGAGGCTGGGTCCCAATATTCAATTGGAGAAGGAAAAAAACAGATTTAAGTATTGAAACTTAATGAGTCTGGAACTAAGGTTAGCTAGGTTCAATTTAATGCGGTCCTGAAGCTGTAGAACTTTGGAGTCTCTACAAGGAATTGTACGTTGACATCAAAGTTGTAGATAAGCAACAATGAATGAAACGAGTTTCTCGGAGAATCTGAGGAGGAAACTGCACTCACATTGATGAACTCATTCAATACGAAATCTGGCACCATGTGCGCAATGCGCTTGTACACGGCCAGATCCATCAGCGTCCTCAGGTTCGCGGCGGCTTCCGGCAACATGAGGTCCTCGATGTTCTCTAGCTTGGCCCTCCCCAACAGTTGCTCGTTGTCCCCCTTCCTCATGTTGACCCCGGAGCTCGCGATCACCACCTTCCCGACCTTCTCGGGCCACATACGCGCCACGTGGTACGCTACGAACCCGCCGTAACTCGTCCCCACGATGTGGAACCTCTCTAAATTCAACTCGCCGGCGAGCTTCGCGACAGAGGCCGCCTGGAAGACCTCGGTCCTCTCAGCGGACCTCGTGGTGGAGCCGCCGAAGAAGATCAAGTCTGGGACATACACGTCAAAGTGAGGGGCGAGGCATTGGACCTGCTTCCTCCATTGCCAGATTCCCTCGGGGCCAAACCCGTGGATCAACACGACGGGTGGTTTCCGGGCGGTTTCTTCGGGCTTCGGCCCCCAGAACTGGATGGTCGTCTCACCATCAAGCTTCAGGGTTTGCTGTGAGAGGCCGGCGTTGGTGAAGCAGCGGCGGAGATAGGTCTCACACAAGGTGACAAAGCTGAGGAAGGGTGGTATGTTCAGCATTTTTGTTCAAAGTGTTGGTGGAGAGTGCTAAGAGGCAAGGAAGGAGACTAGAGGGAGAGAGAGAGAGAGAGAGAGAGAGAGAGAGAGAGAGAGAGGGGGGTTGGTTTCTTAGGTGAAGAAAGAAGAGAGATGCTGACAGGTTTTACAGTTGCTATAAGGGAAGCTCCATTTGAATTTGAGTTGCTGAGTGCGTACTTTTTAGCTGGTATGGGAGGAGGGCAATTGGCCAAATCTTAGTACCAAGATGGCGAGACAACCCATATTCTGTTTATGTCCTTTCTTTCTTGGTAGGTTAACCTATATTCACATGATACTAGTGAAATCACAAACGAGACACCCATGCATCTTATGTATGCAACTAGGCATTTAGAGAAGGAAGATATTGCCCTAAATTCATCCTCGAAGGAGACACTAGTCTTAACCTATGCTAAGTGTCTAAAGAACAACAGACATGAATTTGGCATTGCACTATGATTCGTGGGTTTTCCACAAAAGATTCGAGCTTACACATATAGAATGAACTTCTCTCTCTCTCTCTCTCTCTCTCTCTCTGTGAAAACCCTACATGCAAGCGCTTGAAGGAAGGGGAGGCTTTCTTGTCGTGTTGATTTTGTATATGGGGAGGGTGCGTAGGAAATGAATGGTGGCCGAAAGGGTTGGTTTGGTTGGTTTAATTTCTTTGCTGTCTTCGCTTTGATGGTGACCCACTGAGCTAACCCTCTCACCAAACTCCCTTCTCTCTCTCTCTCTCTCTCTCTCTCTCTCTCTCTCTCTCTCTCTCTCTCTCTCTCTCTCTCTCTCATCCTAATTTGCCAAGATATAATATCTATACATTTCTGTAATTCTTCAGCAAGTGCTTCTTTTAGGTCCATATGAATGATTCTAGTTGGCTGGGTGCAAAAAATGGAGGACACAAATGTTTAGCTACTTACTTCACCATTAATTTAAATGAATGGCAATCTACTGGCTATAGAAGTCTTGGTGCCTTCAATATCGATCTCACCCATAAGCAAAAGCAAAAAAAAAAAAAATGATGGGCATGACTAAATCGTTCTCAATTTCAAGAGCCAAATGGAATTACTTGTCGACTGATTGAGAGACACTTTGAATTGTGTTGTGAACTTACTTAAGTTGTTAGTTCAATTCATTAACACTGGATTACAAATATTTGTAAGGTGAGACGCGACGTTGCGTCATGACACGACCTGTATTATTTGACTGATTTTGGAGGAGTCTATTTTTAGTCGTGTGCTAATGTCAGTCTAGACTTACGAATGTGGAAATGGCCTTCGCCAAATCAACAGATAGTTTAGGGTTCTATGATTGCACTTTGTCTAGATGTTCATGCGTTTCATTTTGGCTAATTAATGATTTTAAGTTTTGGTAATTCCCACATTTCATGGACGTGCGATGTGCTTGAGTGATTCCAGTTCTGCATGAGGATTGGAATTTGAATCTGGTTTAACCATTCATGCTTGAATTCTATTTCACGATTAGCATGTGTGACCTTTATTCATGATGCTCTCAGGAAGTCTAGTTGCTTAGATCAAGCTCGTTTTCACTTCAGCTTGTTCTATGTTGTGTCAAGTTGCTTGTAAGCTCCTTGAACCATGCATGTTCTGGTGCAAGTTCATGATGGCTTGAGATTAGAGCCTTAATACATGTTGCCCAAGTATTACCATGCGTAATACATCGTGCTTCGAGTCCAGCTTGATGCCATATCTTGTCGAACAATTTATCAAGTCATAGACATATAGTCTGGATCCTTTTGAAGCCTATTCATGATGAAGCGTAGTTTTGAGGATCCGTTCCGATGTCATGGAATCGCGTGGCAAAGTCTCCATTAATTATTCGGGTCCTTCACCACCGCAACCATCTCGAACATTTCGGTCATCTCGTCTAGCCCAACAGCCAGCTCTTCAGAAGATATATTGACCCATCTGCTGTAGCAGCTACACTGTATTTTCTGCTTTAAACAGTACAGGGGCAGGCAATCCCTCAACGCCCTTGCAAATTTTACCTCAGTTTCGGGTCTGGTATATGCTGTCTTTCTCGTTGTTGCCTAGAGGAGGCAGAAGCAACAGCACCGGGGCTAGTCTGGTTTTCCTCGTTTCGGCTTTCGATCACCTTTTCCTCATTCTCGCGGGTGTTTCCGCCGACATGATTCTCAATATCGACTGATGGTCGGTGGCGGTTTGATTGTTACCGGCCGGCCCTTCTATACATGCGGGCTAATGTTCCTTCTTCTCCGACATTTTGATCGGCTTTCTTAGTGACAAGCGGGGGCCGAACGCTGTATGGATTACATTCATCCGTTTTGCATTGGTCACCATCGAGGCGGCCGAGGAGCACTCCCAGCCCGACCCCGAGCGGCGGCAGTGGAACAGAAAACATCGAAGCAATTAGGGCAGGAGCTACCAGGCCTAGTACCTGCTGTATCGTCTACGATTGTTTAGACAGCTCTGACATAACATTTTTTTAATAATTTTTTAAATAAAATTTTTAATATTTTTTTCTTTTCCCTTTTCTTTTTGTCTGTAGCTGGTGTTCGACGATGGTTGGCCTCGTCGAGCCTTGCTTGGGTGAGGGTGAGCACTAGCAAGGGCCCCCCTTGCCAAATATGGCGAGGCCGCTTTAGCTTGGGCAAGGGTCGGGCTCGTCAAATCTGGCAAAGGAGGCCCTCACTGGCCATGGCCTCGAGCTGGTTGTCGACAACCGGCCATTGCCAAAATCAAAAGGGAAAGAAAAAAAAGAAAACAATATTAAAAAAATGTTACGTCAGTGCCAGCCGTACCACGTAGGATGGTCAACGTCCATATCTTCAATTTCCGGCCTAAATTAGCTGGATAAACTGAATTAGCATAAATGTAATAGCTTTAGGATTTTTTTGGTACTTTTCCCAACTATAAATGAACATTTAAGTAACAAGCCTAAATAAATTTTTTATTTGAAATACCCAAATAATATTTTCGCCCATGCATCGGCTCATAATTTTTTTTTGGTCGGAGCATCGGCTCATTATACAATGCTGCAAACCATCTTATCAAAAATATATATATACGCACACGCGATAGAGGGTCGATCAATTACATGACGACGAAAGGAAGCTCCATCTATAGATCGATTGGCACATCATGGCTAGTCTGATGAAAGCTTTCGATCGAGAGAGTATATGCACACATGAAAGAGGGTCGATCAATTACATAACGACGAAAGGAAGCTCTATCTATAGATCGATCGGCACATCATGGCTAGTCCGTTGAAAGCTTTCGATCGAGAGAGTGTTGCGAAATGTTTTCCAAATCGTTTTTCGATGCACATTTGGCTCTTAAAGCTTTTCACGTCGGGCATTATGCGACTCGCGTACGTGCCCCGAGAGTACCTAATAATTTTCCCTACTCTGAATAGTCTTACCTCGGTCCGATGTTGCCCTGAAAGAACCACAGGCAATCAATGGAGCTAGGGCCCCCATTCTTTGTACCTGCACATCATTGAAGAAAACTCCAAAACCTCGGGGGACAGAGAAGATGAGTCCCTTGATGCACAACCAATCGGGACCACCACCATGAAAGGTCTCCGCCATCATTTCCCCTGTTCTTGGTGGGGCAATACCGTTGCATTACGCAACTGCGAAAGAAAACAGCCCATCTGGTTCGCAAGAGGAACGTGTTCCTGTCCTTTGCAATCCCATGATTCAATCGTTGTCTCTTTTATGCAGAATGCTAACGCCCGGACGCCGGCCGCCGGATGCGGCGGCGGCGGGGTCGAGTTTTATTCAAGTTATAAGTACTAAGATATGTCGAGCTGCTGACGGCGGAATCGATGGCATTGTACCTGCGATTCGGGGAGCTCTAGCCTCTCCCTTGGCTGCTGCGCTGAGCGTCCAGGATTCGCCGCAGGAGATGCTTCAGGCGGCCGATCAGCTCCTCCGCAGAATGCCGGGGCGGGACCGGGGATCGGTACCGCCTGCAGAGCTCGGAGTGCCGGCCCAGCGCCTCCTCCAGCCTCGCCGCCTCTCTCCCCGGTCCAGCCGCCGCCGCCGCCGCCGCCGCCTCGGACATCGCGTCCTTGATGGCCTCCTCGCAGAGCCCGCACGCCCACCGGCCCCCGTGCCGCTCCCGCACGCGCCGCGCGTAGCCGGGCGTGCACTCCTCCTTGAACCCGCAGCAGCAGCACTCCGCGACCTCGAGCGGGGCCAGCCTGATCGCCTGCTGGGAGGCAGAGGCCGCGGCGGGCCTCTTCGCCTTGGCGTCGCTCAGCACCATCGCAATCATCGCGCTTCTTCGCTTCTCTGCAACACGTTCCACAACCGCCGGTGAGTGCTACCATCGCCGCAGCTCGACTCCATAATACTCGGCAGTCTGAAAACTTTTCGAATAAAGCTCGATACCGGACTTACCCGAAACCGGCGGGAGAGACCGCGGTTACCGCTCCTTCTCCCACTGGATTTCCGCAACTTCGATGTCGCCGCCGCCGCCGCCTGCAAGGAGGAGCTCGAATGGCATATGCATCTCAGAGAGCCTCGACAGGCTCTTCTTCCTTCCTCCTTCCTCTTCTTCTTCCTGGAGCGAATTCCCGACCGTTCTGCGTTCTACAGCGAGACCGGAGATGAGAGAGAGAGAGAGAGAGAGAGAGAGAGTTTTTTTGTTATTTGTTTTATCTGTACATTTAAACAAAATTCCTTTCTTATATTAGATACGAATACGACGTACGGAACTTATTATGCGCTTATTTCGCGAAAAATGAACGATTCCGATAATATCTTTTCGCGAAGATGGATTTTGCATGTGTCGCTTGAAATAATTAAATAATGAAAACGTTTTTTTGTTCGTCCACACTTGTAATCGATATAAGTGATTTTTTTGTAAGAATATTCTTCGAATTATTCGTTTTTCGCAAAAGAAATGGACCTTACAATTAAATTTAGATGAAATTACAACTTTCTGTATTGTTTTTAGGGATAAGTGCATTTGAAGTCCCAAAATTTGTTGCGGAAGTGCAATTGAGTCTTGAAACTTTCAAAGAGTATAATTAAATCTTAAAACTTGTCACAAAAGTGCAATTGAATCCTAAAATTTTATAAAAAAAAAAAACACAATCAAGTCCCAAAACTTGTTAACATTTTCCATTTGTCAAGTTGGATATGGACGGAGTTAATGGAAAGACTTGGTTGCACAAACTCGACAAGTTTTATGGCTCGATTGCACTTTTTGAAAGTTTTAGGACTCAATTATACTTTTCATGATTTTCAATACACTTATCCATTATTTTTATATGGCTAAAGTCCATTATTTTGTTAGTCGCTCTTTTGTGCGGGTGCCCAAAATTTATTAAAGGAAGAGAACATCGTGGGACTTGGATCATATTAGAATATTAGAATATGAATCTTTTAAAGCATGGAGACAAATATAGTTTAGATCTAGTGATCTATAAGATAATACGACGACCCTTTTGAATTATCATTTCGTGCGTTGTTTAATATGGTACAGCTATTATTCCAAATCGACTGGTTTTATTACCCGGGACGTGGATTTTATACATTTTTCGGGTTGATTATAGGATTGACAATTCGAAACATCATTCAATCAGGTGCTCCGCTCGTTATTACAATCTAATATAGCGAAGGCTGAAAGTGGCGAATTTGTTGATCCTCGAAATTCCGACAAAATTTGAATTCACCAAAAATATTAAAAGTCGACAGAATTTCGAATATTTAATTGTTTATTACAATGAAATATAGTTTTCGGAATTCTTTTAACGTTACGTAACAAATTCGAAATACGTCCCGTTCCGTATTCCATCTCTCTTCCCCCTTTTACACGTCGGGAAGTCCTTCTCGAAACGGGGTTCCTCTACTTCGCAGCCCACGATATAGCGCTGATCGTACGGACTCGATCTTTCCACGTCTCGGTTCGCGGCGCAACGGACGGGCGCGATCGAGGTGTCTCGAAAACGAGCTGTCGTACCGTACGGGGCCCACGAAGCACGGGATCGTGACCTCACCGAGAAGGCTGGGTTCGCAGGGGACAATGCCAGCTGTCGTGAAAATCCCACCCTCTGATATGTTCTTTCCGGTGGGGCCCCATCCCAAGGGATTGTTTCTTGCACTTTTGTTTTTTTGTATCGAATATACTTTAACCATTCTAATTAATTTGATCCGATTAGGGTTTATTAACGGGGGCAATCTAACTCAACCCTAAGATCCACGATTTTATTGATGCAATTGTAAACATAAGAAATCAAGTCCTAGCAAAATTGGAAATTTTGATCTAAAACTTTATGGGGGTGGGGGCGGCACGACCCTTCGTCGGGGAGGGTTGGCTGCCCTTGTTAGATCTCGGTGAGGAAGGTGACTCTCATCATTGGAATATTGTTGTCTACCCTTCTTTATTCATTAGCAGCGAGTGGTGTCTCTACTATAGAGCGGAGACGCATATCGTCGCCATGGGGGGTAGGCAATGCCACCCTTCGCTGGTGAGGGCTACCATTGCTAGGTCTCGGCGAGGAAGGCAGCTCTTGTCGTTGGAATTAGTGGCGAGCATGGTCCGGGTGGTCGGTTCTCACTATGGAACAAGGAAACGTTCACTTAGGACCTATTTTAGAGAAATTAGAACCGGGAATCGTCTGTTGGTTCCATGGATCCACTTGGGAATCGGATCGCCAGTCCGATCCGATTCCCAAGTGGGTTCATGGAACCGGTCCTATCAAGCTTCACGCAAATGGAAGTGATCGAGAGCGAGAGAGGGAGGCGATGAACAATTGGAGGTATGGCCACAAGTTGATGGGAGTTGAGAGTCGAGGTCATGAGTTGATGGACGTTGAGCTTGAAAGTCGAGATTATGAGTGAGAGATAGCAAGACAACTTAGATAAGGTGAGAGTGAGACAAAACGAGCACTTAGTTGATGGGAAAATTAGAGATTTAAGGTTTTCATTTTTGTTAATTTTTTTCATTTTTTTGTTGGAAATTTTTCTTAAAAATTATAAATTTATATATATTACCGATCCGATCCGGGCGGGTGGCTTCATGCCTAGAACCGGGAACCGGACCGATACTCACCGGTTCTAATAAATTGGAAGTCAGAACCAGACTGGTCCCGACGGGAACCATCGATTTCGAGCAGGTCCAATGTGGTTCCGGGTGATCCAGCAGTTCCTGATTTCTTTACACACCCCTAGTTGGAATATTGTTGGCTACCCTTATTCATTAGTAGAATGTGGCGTCTCTACTATGGAGCAAAGATGCATACTGTCATTAAAGCTATCGAAATGGGTCATAAACTCGTATAATAACTCATATTTGTAGAAATAGGTCATAAATGGGTCGGCTTAAACTTCATATCTGTGCTGCCTCTTCACCAACCTCCCCTTCTCCGTCCCGCAGACGAGAGAGAGAGAGAGAGGGGCTTGTCTTCGTCGATGTAGAGAAGATCCCTCTCGGTGGGAAGGAGGTTCGCTTCATTAATCTCTCTCCCTCCTCGCTTGCATTCTCTGTTGCCCCTAAAGTTCTTAGGTTCTGCGTTTCGCCCGTTGTTGTTCGCTGCATTTGGAAGGGGTTTTCTATGGTATTCGGTCGAAAAATGCTGATGACGAGCCGTGTCGAATGAAGATAAAAGAACTAGAGTTTTAAGATTTCCTGAACGAGAACGGTGGATTATTAGATGGTTTGAGAAGATGAGAATTGAGCTTGCGAACTATGTTATTGATATGTTGCTTCATGAAATTATAGCTATATGCTATAAAAGATCGGGTGAGATTGTCACCGTGTTTGTATATCTGTGATGGCCGTAATCGAGGTACCTGTGAAATATATATTTTGAAAAATAATCATCTTCATTAGCTATAATAATAAATATACTTTGACTATTTAAGCTTTATTTATTTTTTTCTAATTTCAACAAGGAATATATATAGTTAGAAAAAGTAAGGCAATTATAGGAAAAAAAAATAAGTAGTTGAAAACTATATGCATTGTAAATATGGGTTTAAATGTGCTTTAAATGAATGGGTAAGGGTTTTCATAGGCGGGATTTAATTATAGATGTGTTTTAGTAATATGGACTGAGTCAGGTACGTGACATGTACGAGTTGTAAGGGTGTCAATGGTTCGGTTCGATTTGGGTGTCTAGAAAAACCGAACCATTTAGACGTGTGCTTGATCCGAACCGAAACAACACACGAACCGAATATGATCCGAACCGAAAATGCGGTTCGGTTCGATTTTCGATTTTTCTTTTTGATCTTTTTTTGCACTTCTTCCCTTCCTCCTCCTCGTCTTCTTCTTCCGCGCTCTCTCTTCCCTCTTCTCTGTGAGACTGCTTCTTCTTTCTTCTTCCCGTCAAGAAGCAGGTCAACTGATGACCCACCACCGAAAGGCCCCACCAGATCACCGGAGTCGGCCATGGACACTCGCCGGAGACCGAACATCCGGCGACCGAACCCGCTCTAACAACAAAAAACCGAGGACCGGGACTCGGACGACCCGTTTGGTTAATGGCGGCCATCACAAACACCTCGGAGCCGCCGTCGCCGGCCCAGGTGGGACTCGGTCTCGATGTCGGCATCGGCCGACGAGCTGACGGCCGAGGCCGTGAACAAGCGCTACGAGGGGCTTGTCATGCTACGGCCAAAGGCCGTCAAGGGGAAGGGCGCGTGGTACTGGGCGGCGCACCTCGAGCCCATGCTCGTCCACAACGCCGACACCGGCCTCGCCAAGGCCGTGAAGCTCCGGCACTCCCTCTACGAGGCCGTCTTCTCCGCCTCCAACCCGTCGCGGACCGCCTCCGAGCACCTCAAGCGCGGCACCTGGCCCAACTTCAAGAAGCCAGAGAGAAAAATGTGTTTCGTCACTTTTTGGGAGATGATAATGATGTGAGGGAAGAGGAAGAGAGAGAATAAAGCAGGAAAGAGAGAGAGAGAGAGAATAAAGCAGGAAAGAGAGAGAGAGAGAGAGAGAGAGAGAGAGAGGAGAGCAGTGAGAGTGCGAAGGCAGGAAGAGAGAGAATAAAGTAAAAAAGTGAAAGAGAGTGAGAGAAAAGTGAGTGAGAGGTGAGCAGTAATGAACAGTGAGATTGAGGAGAGAGAGCGCGAAGAGAAGAAAAACGCATTAAAAAACCAAAATCCGAACCGATTTGAAGGAACCGAACTGAACCGTTATGTTAGGGCCCGTTTGGTAACGTGCCAAATAGTAAAAATTTCTGTTCTTTTGTTCCCAAAAATAGTTCGAGAACAGAAATGCGTTTGGTAAATTTTTTGTTCCTTGGCACATTTTTGCAAAAATTTGTTCCGAGAAACAGTTTTGGAAGAGAAACAAGAAGTAAAAAAAAGTTGCTTCTTATTTCTCGGCACAATTTTGAGAATCATTTTTTTTTCTTTTCTTATTTTTGTGTTGTTCTTCCTCGGCTGGGCCGGCCGCCGGCGACCGGCGATCGGCCACAGCCCAGGGTCGGCGAGGGCGTCACGGCCCTCGCCGGCGAGGGCGAGTGGCCGGACCCTCGCCGCCCGGGCGAGGCGGCCTCGCCTGATTGAGCGAGGCCGAGCCTCGCCGTGGGTCGCGACGGCGAGGTCGGCCTCGTCCGAGAGATCTGCGAGGCTCGGCCTCGCCCGATCCGGCGAGGCCGAACCTCGCCCAAGCGGCGAGGGTCCGCCGCTCGCCCTCGCCCCCTGTGGGTGGCCGTCGGCCGCCGCCCGCCGCGACCGCCCGGCCAAAGAAGAAAGTAGAAAGAAAAAAAAAATAAACAATTCAAAATATTATTTGGGAACGGAAATTTTGTGTAGTTACCAAACGCATTTATGTTCTTTTCTACTCTAGGAATAGAAATTTTGGACAGTTTATCAAACGCCTTCAAATACTCAGAAATTGTTTCCGGGCACAGAATAAAAAAAAATCATTTCTGTTCAGAAATAGCGCCCGGGCACAGAATGGTATTCATGCGCACCCTTAGCCAAATTCATTTACTTATTATCCGAACCGAAACCAAACTAAACCGAAAATGCATGAATTTTCGATTCGGTTCGTATTTCAGTTCGATTTTTCGGTTCGGTTCTGACACCCCTAATGAGTTGGGTCGGGTATGAGCCAATAAATTTACAATGTATGTAAATAAGTTAAATGGATTGGATCATTTTCAACTCGACCCGACCCAACCCACCAATTTGACGATCTAACCTCGCTTACATCCGAGAAAGGGCGAATGGGCCCTCTCTTATGCAATTGAGCTCCTATACCCTAGCCAAAAAAAAAAAAAAACGATTGCAAGTCCAAAGACTATGAGAACATGGTTCGAACACCACACTAATTTTCCGAGAGAAATCTGAAGTTGACGCCATATTAAGGTTCCGTTTATTTCGCGGAAAACATTTTCCTCATTTTCCTGTTTTAGGTTTGCTTAGGAAAATGGGTTAATGGAAAATGTTTTATTTGTCAATGGAAAACCTATGTTTAAATTCAGGAAAATGATTTTCTCTTTGAAAAAGTCGGAAATTTTTTTCTAAAATATGACTAGGTATTAGCGCTTGGACCTAAAATTCTACATTTGAACACGAGAACCCCAACACTAGTTGCTGAGTCTCCAACACCTAGACTGGGTCCATTAAGACAGGGTCTGGGTCCATCATGGCTAGGACTAGGTCTCTAACGCGGGGGCATGAGTCCATTGAGGTTGGACCAAGGTCTATTGAGGCCGGGCTTGAGACCCCTTAGCTTAGGCTTGGGCCCCCGACGACCATGCCCGGGTCTATGAAGGCTAGGCTCGAACCCTTAGGTGCTCGTGCCCTATGCCCCGCCACCTGAGCCCACATCATAAAGGTCGGGCTCAGGTCCTTGACGCTTGAGCTCTAGTCCCTAACACTCAAGTCCTAGTCCACAAAGGTCGTGCGAGTCCTTGACGCTCGGACTTGGGTCCTTGATTAATGAAACATTCATTCCTATAAAAAATTTTTAAAATAAAATTTTTAATTATTTTATTTTAAAAAAATTGATGTTTTAATTATTTTTTAGAAAAATTCAATTTTTTTAACTATTTTTAAAAAAATCGATTATTTATTATTTATTATTTTTACTTTTTCCTTTTCTTCTTCAACGGCTGGTTATTGGCCATGGTGACGGCCAGGGATTGGCCACAGGCGAGCTTAATTTGCCAAATTCCAATGAGGTCGAGCCTTGCCTGAGGCTCCACCTCGTGCCGATTGTCGGCGACCGACGGAGATGGAAGGAAAAAGAAAGGGAAAGGAAAGAAAAGAAATTGAATTTTTTGATATGAAAATTAAACGGATTTTCCAAGCCAAAATGCAAAAAATATTTTTTAGCTCATTTTCGAATTTCAACCAAACACCGAAAAATCTCATCATTTTTTTTCTAGAAAATAATTTTCAGAATGTCACATTTTTCGCAAAAATGTGAGTACGTTGAGGCCTGTTCGTCTTCTTATAATAACGGGGTCGACGGCCCAAAAGCACTGTTGACACTGATGAGTTGACACCGATGAGAGGAAGGAAAAGGCATATCTTGAGGGATAAAGGCATCGTAGGTCCCTAAATTTTTTCAAATTGTGCGATTATGTCCTTACATTTCTTTTTTGTGTTATTGGGTCCATAAAGTCTTTGCCTTTTTTTTTGTTGGAATTGATTTTTTTTTTCTTAAATGGAAACCGAAAACGGTAACGCGAATCGACCAATCATCAATGAGCGCACGAGTTTGTGATAACGTGTAATTGCCTCTCTTGCCGACCGTATAGAAATCAGAAAGGCGAGGCCGCAAAAGGGGCTGTGCATCGCGGGCCATGGACCGGTCGAGGTCCGTTGAGCACTCGCTCGGTCGTTCAGCACTAGGCTGGGGGGGGGGGCCGTCGAGACCGCTCGATTTTTTGGCCGTCGCTCGCTGGGGCCAACAATTTCTGTTCATAAATTTGACGGGGTAGGAATGAAAAATATATATAATTTAGAGATTGGATTGAATAAAAAAAACACTTTTTAAATTGAATTAAACAATTTGGAAAAGTTTTTTCTTTTTTGATGAATAATTTGGAAAAGTTAGGAAAAGAACTTCGGCGCCTTCATCTCTGCAGAGGAAAACAGGAAATTTCTTGTTCCGAGTTCCAGTGTCCGAAGCCTTCGGATCGTCCTTGATTTCCTGCTTCCCTTCTCTTCTTTTGTCCGCTCCATTCTCAAACACAAAAACCATCTCCTTCTTTCACCTCCGTCGCATCACCGCATCAACGTCACGTCTCACGCTCGCTGCGCTGCTTCTGCTTCTGCTTCTGCTTCTCCTTCTCTCTCTCTCTCACCCTCCCAGGGAGTGATCACGCCGCAACAGCAACGGGAAAAAGGCGGGATCTTTCGGGTCACGCGACTCGTTCGGGCGCCCGCATTCTTTGTTTCTCTCGTTCCCGTTTGCCAGTTCAGCATGGATTCGCCCAGGAACGACCTCAAGCGAAGTTTCGACGACATGAACTCGTCGAGAACGGAGACGGGTCCTCGCGGGACTGATGACCCTGCCCAAGGCCCTCCTAAAATTCCCAAGAGTTTCGACCCCAGAAGGTTAATTTCTCGTGACCCTCGATCTTTGTCTTTCTAGATTTGCTTGAATTTCGAATTTTTGATTCGTTAGTGATCATAGTGTAATGGGTATGCGATCATAGTGTGTAGTGTGTTCCTTTGAGTCACCTGTTTGAGTTTTGTGTGTGTGTGTGTGGGGATTGGACATGCAGCTATCAAGTGAAGGTTTATGAGGTTGCTATGAGGAGGAACACTATTGCGGTGCTGGGAACTGGTTCTGGAAAGACAATGATAGCCGTGATGCTTATTAAGGACATGGCCCAATCTATGAGGTCGAGTGGGGAGAAAAAGTTGATGATTTTCTTGGCTCCGACAGTCCATCTCGTTAATCAGGCATGTAACGTGTAATCGTTATCCGTGCATTCATTGTGAATGAATTTAAATTTTCATCGAAGGAAAAAAGTCCGAATTATGTACACTACTGGAAAGACAGTTGTGTTTCCTTTGAATATTGTTGTGATCCTGTTATTCTGTTTGGTAATGGCTCGTCTTGCAGCAATATGAGTTTATAAGCAGTCAAACTGGTCTGCAAGTGGGGGAATATTACGGAGCCAAAGGCATTGACGAATGGAACGTGAAAAGCTGGGAGAAGGAAATCAGCGAGCACGATGTGAGTTTGCCTCTAGCCGCTAGCATATGAATATTTTTCGTGGTGCGATCGTTCAATTTTTTGCTTTTGCAGCGCTTGTCGTTTTCTTTTCTCATGTTATTTAATTATGTTCGATCTAGAACAGCTTGTGAGTTTCCCTTGTATTCATGGATCCCTTTAGCAGTTGTATGGGTCAGATAATATCAAAATGTCTAATTATTAATGTCTCCTTTTCTGAATTCTGCCGGTGCAATTGGTAGACATTTTTCTTTACCTTTTTCTTTTTGCGCTTGGGCTTGTATTCTAAACTGGATATATGGCATAGTGCAAATGTTACTGCTACTGTTTTTTATTTAGATACTGGTAATCTTACTTGCATTATTTTTATAGTACTTAACCAGCGTTTTGGGAGAGCTGATATATCTCTACATACTCAATTTTATCTGTGCATTCTTGGGGGTTCGAATATGTCAATGCAGAGTTTCGTTTCATTTGAATCAGATCATTTGAGCCTTTTCAACTGATTGGATTAGTTGTGATGCGTATTGTTTTGATCAAACAGGTGCTGGTTATGACCCCACAGATTTTACTGGATGCCTTGAGAAAGGCATTCCTCAATTTGGACACAGTGAGCCTGATGATAATTGATGAATGCCATCGTACCTCAAAAAACCATCCTTATACGAAAATAATGAAGGTTAGCGCCCATCCTCATTCCATCATCTCTTGCCTGATTAGCCCCCGTTATTATTACTCATAATGTGTACTTACTTCTTTTATCGAAGGAATTTTATCACAAAAGCAGTAAGAAGCCAAAGATTTTTGGAATGACAGCTTCGCCTGTATCTTGTAAGGGTAAGAAATGTCTAAGTCAACCTTCTGTGTCCTTGCTAGAGATAAAGGCTTTGGTGAATCTTTCTTTTGTACTCTGATTTTGTCCATTAGTTGCTGTGAACCTACAGAATATTGTTTTCTGCCTTTTTGCTCTCGTTTTGGAATGTCGATATGCAGATACTGCTCTAACAGGGGAAAAAAAAAATCCTTTCCAGACAATTCTTGTATTGGATCTTGGGAAAAAGGTACCATGTAGATGGAGTTATTCAAAATAAGTTGTCCCTACAAGAAATATAAAGGTGAAGCATATAAATGGAGTTAAAATTTTTCAAGGAATGCAGGATTAACTCGTGTTAAAAGCCAAACTTACCGCTGTCTCCATGGTTGTGCAATATTGAACATGAAGAAACTGTTTTCTGAGCCACCTGCCTCCGTTCTTTAGTAATATTTAGTGCTGTCGGCAGTTCTAGATCTAACCATAATCCGCTTTTGATGATGAAAGCTGAACAAATTTTCTTTTGGAACAATTAAACTGAAGACTGGTGTGACTGTGACGAAGTTGTCCAGTCCTGGACGACTGAATGGCACAGTTCTTGTAGCAACAAGGAGAGATAAAAACCAAGCTGGAGAAGCCTAATTTGATATTTCTTTCTATCATGATCGATCACAGATTTATTTCTCCCAATGCTTCACATTGTGGGTATGAGAATGCAATGAATTATATTTGTGTCCTAGTTCTTCTTTCGACCATCGGTAACTTACCAAAAAAGGCGTATAGTTAAATTTACTGATCTTGAGATTCCATCACAAAATGGCAATGATGAGAAGATCTCTGAGATATAATTAGTGGAAAGTACTGTGATGCCATCAAAGTTCAGTATAGCTCAATTTGCTTTCGCTGCTTTCTGATGTGCTTTTCTATAAGCACCTAATCTCATGATTTGTTAGAAAGGAAAAAAAAAAAGGCCTATTTTGTCTTTGAAACTTCAATCTGTTCCTGGAACAAACCTGTTAATTTATTTACGTCCACTGTTTAATGCTGGTTTACAAGTATATAAACTGTGAATGTCTGCGATCTATTTGACATGAGGATAAACCAAATTAACCAGCTTTAATGAATTGAAAAGGGTCTAGTCACGTCTGGTAGGGAAGTAACTTTGGTATGCTCATAAGCTGCCTATTCTCCAAGTTTGATCCTAACTTCAGCCAAACATCATTGACAAAGGAGTAGATACTATATAGCCTTGTATAACAGTCTAACAAAAGGAATTGATATGAAGGTGTCTGTAAAAGACATCTAATTATATGTATAAAACTTGAAACACTGCTTCACATTGAGTATGCTTACACACCACCATGTATGCCTTTTCCCTTTTTATATGCTTCTATGTGATGTTTGATTCGACTTGCCACTGATTAGAGCAATATCATGATTTTAGGGGTTTCCTCGACTGTGCATTGTGATGGACAGATATCAGAGCTCGAGAGCATTTTGGATTCCCAAGTAGCAAAAGACTTTCCTGTTGTCCTGTTTCATTGATTACATTATCATGAACTTGTAGCATTCTCACGTGGAAATATATTTACATGGACAGATATACACTGTTGAGGACAGGACGGAGATAGAAGGATATGTTCCATCTGCCAAACATATATGTTGGTTCTTTGACCAACCGCTGTTTTCAAATGCATCTTTGAAGGAAAAGATGGAAGCTTCATGGTCTAAGGTATTCTTAATTAAATGCACATGTTTGTTCACCTCATGATACTTGAATATTCCATGTCACGCTTTTGCATATGTTGGCTGAAACTATTTTAAAGAGGTTTCATTATGCATGGGCAGTTTGACGCTTCCTTGTTGAAGTTGCAAGGTTCCCTTGAAAATCGTTTCAAAGACATGGATGAAAAGTTTAAGACACTGCAGAAGCGGTTGTCCAACGACCACTCAAAGATTATGTATTGCCTTGATGATCTCGGTCTCATTTGTGCTAATGAGGTATGCCATAGTAATATTTATGCTTGAGCCATAAGTTTGACAGACAAAGTACTATCTCCTTTTTTCACTTAACTTACATTGCCTAAAGCAGCTCTAATCGTCAGGGTAGGACTTTTGGATGGTGAGGATTGTATATACAACTACCATGAGAAAGAGATTCTACCTGTTTCTCCTCATTATCTGAGAGTTAGGTTCATATACCAAAGAACTTCGTGAAGTTCCTCATTGGAGAAACTTTGGAAATGGTGAATCCTTTTTTAGTTCTAGACACTAATCTTCTGTTATGATGGTTCCAGCCCCGCCTACTATAGGGCTGGCCAATCAGGAGTTACACTTCATAAGTTAAGCACAAGCTGTTGGGATAGATTAGTCCGAGTTTGTCTCTAAACTCAATGTGCAGGTATGACCAAGAAAGAATATCGTTAGACTTAGGCTCAGAAAATCCTTTAGTGTTGCTGTCACTGGACACAAGGTGCTTCTAGCAATATTTAGTAGTTTAGTTCTTCATCAAAGGGTGGACAGCCAAACCTGTGGGAGGTTTAATAGTACCATGGTCTGCTTGGTAGTTTCTGTTGCTGGATTGATTATGAGTTCTGTTTTGTCACGACTTCTCACATTTTCTTTAATTTGGCAGGCTGTTAAAGTCTGTTTAGAGAATGCTCCTAACGCCAAAGGGGAATGTGATATCTATAGAGAGAGTTCCTTGCAGTGTAGATATTATCTTGAAGAAGTGTCACGATTAATAGGGGACTCCTTGTCACTTGGTATGATATTATCCTTTTGGCTTTGTCTCATTTACATCAGTTGCATCACTTTCTTGAGAGAGGGAGTTTAGTGCTGCTCTGTATCATCTATCCAAATGATGATATCTGGGGAATTGCAATTAGCAAATGTTGAACTTGAAGTAACTATCCAAAATAAAGCTCTTGGAACTTGCTGCTTATAAATAAGAAAGATGATGACCTTTCCTTATTTTTAGTATCATCATTGTGCAGTAAGCAGCATTGCTCTACTTCATGTATGAGAAATGCCATAGATCAGATTTGCGTTTCAGGTGACGAGTTTACTTTGGAAGCTGGGGCAAACTGGCAAACAGCATTGGAGATGGGCTATGTAACTCCGAAGCTATACGAACTCCTTCAGATTTTCCTGTCATTTGGGTGATAAGAGCTACTTCATTTGTCAATTTTGCTCGTTTCATATTGTGTTCTGAGGTCATCGTTTGTTCATTGGTTTGCAGAGGTGCAGGGCCAGTACTGTGCCTCATCTTTGTAAATAGAATTGTCACAGCGAAAGTGATAGAGAGATTTGTGAAGAGAGTCTCTGTCCTATCTCATTTCACAGTGTCGTACATAAGTGGAAGCAATTCTTCAGTTGATGCCCTGGCACCAAAAGTGCAGAAGGAAACCTTGGAATCATTTCGCTCTGGCAAGGTATCTATCAATTACTAGTCATGGGAAGTTAGGTACCTAAGACTCCTAACGTTTACGTCAACCAAACAAAATCTATATAGGTGAATTTACTGTTTGCAACTGATGTGGTTGAGGAAGGGATTCATGTGCCAAACTGTTCGTATGTAATACGCTTTGACCTTCCTAAGACGGTACGGAGTTATGTCCAGTCTCGTGGACGGGCACGGCAGGATAACTCCCAGTATATTATCATGCTTGAGAGGTAAACTCTTGTCCTTGGTAATTCTTTACAAAATCCAAGTACTCTGGATGAATAAGTAGCTTTCTGGCGGCAATTTATACCTACCTTGATATGTGTTTCCCTTCATCATTATTTCAGGGGAAACATAAAGCAAAGGGATCAACTATATGACATCATTAGGAGTGAACGATCCATGATCAACACAGCCATAAACAGAGATCCTTTTGAGTGCAACTTGAAAGCATGCACGTTAGAGGAAACGGGTGCATATTTTGTTGATATAACTGGAGCTTCAGTCTCTACGGATTCAAGCATTAGTCTCATTTATCGATATTGTGAGAAACTCCCTCATGACAAGTAAGAAAATCGATTAATTCAACCAGTCATAGACATACTTATACGAGCAGTGAACGTTCTTTTCTTGTACACGATGTTATAGTTAATTTAAGTGATTTACATGACAAGGCTCTGGTATAATGTAGGTACTTCACCCCAAAGCCAGACTTTCAATTTTTATTTTCAGGTGGATCTTGTGAGTGCACTTTGACATTGCCTCCTAATGCAGCCTTTCAGACATTAGTAGGTCCCTTGAGCAGGAACAGTCATTTAGCCAAGCAACAAGTATGCTTGGAAGCTTGTAAGAAGCTGCATCAAATGGGTGCTTTAGACGATCGTCTTCTTCCCTGCATTGAGCAGACCTCAGAAAAGGCTGCTACTTCTAAAGGCAAGGAATCATCTGCAGGTGCAAGTGCAGTTGCGGGTGTAGGTACTGCTCTCTGTACCAGCTCCTTTTTCCTGCATCATGTAAGTCTATGGGATGTCAAATGTGCAGTTTCAAGTGTTATGATCACAGATTACTTGTTTTCCCCCCTTCTCTTGAAACGATATGATGTTCATAAGATATAATTTTGCAACTCGATGTTGTTAGATTATTTAAAAATGTTTGTGTTGTGCACATCTTCTTTTTCCTTTTAGATGTTCTCATTACTACAAACAATCGTTCTTATTACGTGGCTGGTATGAAATTGTTTTTCTTATTCCTGCTAAATGCAGTGTTGACACTGTTATCCATTCACAACTAGTTGCTGTTAGCTATGGGTTTCTCATGATGGTTGAAAATGGATGTAATTGGCTGATCATGTTTGAAGTCTTAATAGTGTCGTGGTTTTAATTGTTAATATCTGACTTCTTTCAATCTGTAAATCTTGCTCCTAGTTTCGTTTTCCCTTCTGAAAATGTATGTACCTTTTGTTTCCCAAGGTACAACAAAAAGAAAGGAGTTACACGGAACGACAAGCATTCGTGCATTATCAGGAGCATGGGCTGAAAAAACTGATGGGGCAATTTTTGAGGCCTATAAATTTGATTTCTCCAGTAGTATTGCTGGCGAATTTTACTCTCCATTTATTCTTCTGATTGAGTGTAAGCTTGATGATGATGTGGCGTATACGGAAGTGGATCTTTACTTACTTAAAAAGACGGTTAAGGTGTTGGTATCTTCATGTGGACAGGTGGAAGTGGATAGTGAACAGGTAAAACCTGATAGCTTTTATGCAACGATTATGCTTTTAGATATCTTTATTATAACATCGAGTATTTTGTTTGATGTACTAGATGATGAAAGCAAAGTGCTTTCAAGAATTCTTTTTTAATGGTTTATATGGGAGATTATTTGTTGGCTCCAAATCATCGGGAAAGCGGAGAGAATTTATTTTCAACAAGGAAGCAAGCTTATGCTGGAACCCAGAGTACATGTATTTACTTCTCCCCCTGGAGACTTCGAAAACATCAAGTGATGATTCTTGGAAAATCAATTGGACAGCGATAAGTTCCTGCTTCGACGCAGTTGAAATTATGAAGAAAGAATATTCTTTTGGTACTGAAGATAGTAAAAGTAAGACAGTAAGCTCATTTCCTTCCGGGACTCTTGCTGCCGAGATTGACGAGGACAAGAAAATACGCTTTGCCAATGGTTCATTCAGCGCTTGCAAACTGAAACAAGTAGTGGTCGTGGCTATTCACACCGGAAGGATCTACTCGATTTTTGAAGTTACCTCTGATGTGTCCGCAGACAGTCCTTTTGAGGGAAATGCGGATGGTGGCTCCTCAAAATTTAGTTCTTATGCTGAGTACTTTAACAAAAAGTAGGTAATTGTTGATTCTATATATTGCTTTCTATTTCCTGCATGTACTTCAAAGCTCATCGATAATTTTTCAGGCATCTTTTTTATTTTTTATATTTTTTGTCAGGTATGGCATAGTGTTAAAATACCCAGGACAGCCTTTGTTGCGGCTAAAGCAAAGTCATAATCCATACAATCTTCTAGTGAATTTTGTGGAAAAAGGTATGAATTGTGTGGTTTCAGGTTTCTTTATGGTTAAATCAGTGAGCATGATCTGTTGCTTCTCTGTCTGTTCTATTATCTTTTCGCTTATGTGGTTAACATTTGTCTTGAATCGCTTTCTACCTGTTCTTTATTTTCTTTTCTTTCTTCTGCAGGTCGCAAGAGCAAGGCATCACAACCTGGCTATGTTGAGAAGCCATTGAATCATGTTTATATGCCACCCGAGCTTTTACTTACTCTTGATGTTCCAGTATATGCAATGAAAGCATTCTACTTGCTGCCATCTTTGTTGCATCGTTTAGAATCCTTGATGTTAGCAAGCCAACTTAGGGCAGAGATCAACTGTCAAATTGGCAATTTTCACATACCAAGCTCTCTGGTTTGTCCGATTCTCACATAAACTTGACAGTTTATATTCCTATGTTTTGATGGTTATGGAAATATGCTAAAATTATAAGATCATGATCTATGATTAGATATTAGAGGCACTTACAACCCTGAGATGCTGTGAGAGTTTTTCGATGGAACGCTTGGAATTGCTGGGTGACTCTGTCTTGAAGTATGCTGTCAGTAACCATCTCTTTCTTAAATATCCCAAGAAGCATGAAGGACAACTATCAGCTGAGCGATCACAGGCTGTTTGTAATGCAACCTTGCATAAACGGGGGACGGACCGTCAATTGCAGGTATTTGATCTTACATGCTCTACAAGTGAATCCCTGCGTATCTCGTTGTTCGGGAATTCCTTTAGACTTTTCCTTCTCATTGACGTGTGTATTTATCATGATTTTGCAGTTTGTGTTCTCATTTGTTTGAATTGCAAAGTTTGTCTTGTCCTAAAGTTTGTTTTATAGAGAGTAGTAATGTTTATTACATCAGTTAAGAAACTATAAAGCGGAAGATAGGATTGAGGAATTTGTGTATAATTCAATATATCATGATGAAGAGTACATCAGCTATTTTTAAGCTTTATGAGAGACTATCAAAGGTAACATATATATGCACAATCAAATGAGATATCGCAATTTTAAGAGATTAGAAAACCAACAAAAATATTCTAATTATCTCTAACATAGGAAAAATCCTAATTTTCTCTAACATCCTCCCTCAAACTCAAGGTAACTAAGTTAGCTTGAGTTTGGATAAAAATAAAAATCCGAAAATAAGCTAGATGGTAGATTTCAGGTTCTGCCATGTTTGAGGACGGCGAGTATGGTGGTGGTGTCAGTTCTCCGATATGAGCAGCTGTAAAACAGCAAGCGGCCGATACGACTGGAAAGCTAACTAAAACAGTAACTAGACCCGATGCGGCTGGCGTCGTAATAGCATGGCTTTGCTTTCAAAACAGTTACTGAACGACACAGTCTGTGCAGCTGGCATCGTAATGACCAAGCTGAGAATCGGAGGGAAATAGCAAGCGGCTGATGGCTTTGCTAATAAAATAGTAACTCGGCTTCCTCGGATAACAGGGCTCTGTAGATGACATTGTCTATCGAAGAGATGAACAATGTTGAAATCAACTTGACAATATTAGGATTTGTTGGAAATGATATGACAAGAAACAATTATAGCTCCAGATACGCACTTGGGTCTCACACCCGATGCATTTCAAGATCAACTTGCTTTGATACCAAGTTAAGAAATTATAAAGCAGAAGATAGGATTGAGGAATTTGTGTATAATTCAATATATCATAATGAAGAGTACATCGGCCTTTTTATAGGCTTTATGAGAGACTATCAAAGGTAACATATATATGCACAATCAAATGAGATATCGCAATCTTGAGAGATTCAGAAAACCAGCAAAAATATTCTAATTATCTCTAATATAGGAAAATATCCTAATCTTCTATAACAACATCAAACCATTACTAGCATGGATATTCCTCTAACACTCATCTATACGTGACTAAAGTCTGATCTTCTGATACAATTTGCTTCATGCTAAAGGGATACATCCGGGATAGTGCATTTGATCCACGTCGTTGGGTTGCTCCAGGACAGCGCACTTTATTCCCTTGTCCTTGTGGTTGTGGTGTTGACACATCAGAAGTTCCTCTGGACGTTAAATTTTGTACTGAAGAGCCAAACATAGTGGTTGGAAAGTGCTGTGACCGGGGCCACCGATGGATGGGCTCAAAAACCATACCAGATTGTCTGGAAGCCCTCATAGGCGCATACTATGTCTCTGGTGGATTAATCGCTTCTCTACATCTTATAAAGTGGCTTGGAATCGATGCTGAAGTCGAGCCTTCATCTGTTGTCGAAGCCATTAATGGTGTATATCTGCATTCGTCCGTCTCGTCAACTGATGAACTTGCAATTTTGGAGTCGAAAATTGGGTACACATTCTCTGTTAAGGGACTGTTGCAAGAAGCTGTAACGCATGCATCTTGCCAAGAACAAGGGCTGGCGTACTGTTATCAGGTAACAAGCAAAGTCTCTTGCTTAATTGTTACTGGTTTAGGCAATGACGTGACAATAACTTTTTGACTATTTCTTACCATTAAAGACTCAATTCCATGCAGAGGCTTGAATTTCTTGGCGACTCTGTGCTGGACATTCTTATTACGTGGTATCTCTATCAGAGTCATGCTGATGTCGACCCTGGTGAGTTGACCGACTTGCGTTCGGCTTCTGTTAATAATGAAAATTTCGCTCAAGTTGCTGTGCGGCACAACTTCGAAAAGCATCTTCAGTACTGCTCATCCTTTCTTCAAAGCCAAATTACGGAGTACGTACAATCATTTGACAGACTGGAAATTGACACAAGAGACCTGCAACACATGAAAGGCCCTAAGGTAAGATGCCATATAGGTCTATTTTTCATGGGTGGGCAAACGAAGCATTTGCTGCATACAACTTTGTCAATAGTATTGTTTATTATTTGTCTATCATTATTTGTCTCAAGTTATTGGAGAACCGAAGATCCAGAACAAATTGATCCGCTAGCACCTGCCTAAATAACCCATTATGTATGCTGATTTTTCATGCCGATAGAGATAATAGATTCTGCTTCATAGACCATTTATTCATAGAATCAGTACGGTTTCTTTTCCGTGTGGCGAGAGAAGGCAAAGATTTTTTCAAAGGATTTCTTTAGCAACTCTTTGGTTGATCTGGAGAGAGGGGAATAGGAGAGCCTATGATGGAATAGTGAGCTACGGAAGTAGAGGAATCTTTCTTGTTTAACAGTTTAAATGTTTGCTGTAATTGCGTTGTGTAGTCAATGTAAATGACGTCGTTGAGATGGCAAATACATTATCTAGTAGATGAAAATTTGTATTGGGGCAAGGCCAGCACCTTCTTGCATGGTGCCTTATTTGTGACGGTAATCTTTTTGCTGATCACAAGATGATCATTTAATTCAGGACTTCTAAAGTCTTGCAGCTTCATGGTCTGTAGAAATGCCCTTTTTTGATGGCACCCGCCTAGTGTGGTCTGATTTTTTGTCCCTTGAATGTCCTTATATATATATGCAATACGTATACCCATGTGAAATATGTACTTGACGCGTATCATGCTCATCTACTTTCTTTCTATTATTCTGCAGGCTCTTGGAGACATGGTGGAAAGTATTGCAGGAGCTATTCTTATTGATACGGAGCTTAATCTTGATGAAGTATGGAGAATATTCAAACCACTTTTATCTCCAATTGTGACACCTGATAAGCTCGAATTGCCTCCTTGGCGTGAATTGAACGAGCTGTGTGACCATCTTGGGTACTTCCTCAAGGAAAATTGTGTAAATAAGGGGGAAACTGTTCATGCCGAGATTCGTTTACTGCTTGATGATGTGCTGTTGGTCGGCCAGGGTTGTGAGCGATGTAAAAAAGATGCCAAAGGGAAAGCGGCTCTTCATTTGCTAAAGCAACTTGAGGTTTGTTATTGTTGCACTCAAATGTACAAGTACAATGTCTTGTCTTGGTTTCTTTTTTCCCAAAATTAACACGTGAACTGGCTTTTAGTGGTCATGTCGCTGAATGCATGCCCTTAGCACGTGTTATTTGCATTAAAAATTGACGGTGCTTGTGTTCGATGTAGCAGAAAAGGGGAATATCATTCAACCAGTCTGTCGCAAAAAAGAAGAAACACGGTGCTGAGGAGGATGCTGATTCGTCTCCATTAGATGCAAGCGTTGACAAAGACAGTCATGGAATTAATGAAGATTCTTCAGGCCTAGAACCTTGTAAGAAACAAAGGACTACTGGAAGTCATTTGCCCACAGAGGCAGCTGAAAAAATTGTGTCGGTGGATTGCAGTTTAAAGGAATCTAATTTCGATTCTTCTGAACCAGGTTTGTAACATTTGTAATCCACCGAGCTTAGAGTTATAGCATTTTTGCAATTTTATGAGTTCCAGAGTAAGCATAGAACTCGAATAATGTCATTGGTTGGGAATTGCTAATGTTGAGCTGTATTTGTTTTCATTTTCATTAGCGTTAACATTGTTCTGGTCCTTGCTATTGCAGTTCTCCTAACCGTCGACATGAAAAAAGGCGGGCCTCGAATGTCTCTCTATGAGTTATGCAGGAAACTCCAGTGGCCGATGCCCAAATTTGAAACAACCGAAGAAAAATCAAAGTCTGTAATACTGTCACCTCTTTCAAGCACTTTTCTAAGTTCTTTTGTCTCAACAATTTCTGCTCCGTACTTGGTCTGGCCTAATTGATACGAATCTCTTGCAGGACCCCGATTGAATTTGGTGAAGGTGCTGAGAAAAGAACAGGATTCAGTAGTTTCACATCGAAAATCATCTTGCACATACCCAAATATGGCAACATGGAATCTACTGGAGATCCTAAAGCCGATAAGAAAAGTTCGTTTGACTCCGCCGTGCTGACTATTCTTCATGAGCTCGAAAAACAAGGGAGGATTATCATTGGTAAAGCCTAACCACCATCTGCGCAAAGCTATTCTTTACTAACATTAGGAACAGAAGGATCATTGAAGGTGCTTATTATCAATCCCTTCGATTTTCTTGAATTAAGAGCATTTAGGAAAAGCTCAAACGGGCTATTTTAGCAAGAGTTCGCAATTTCTTCCTGACTGATTACATCATGTTGATGACAAATTGAGAGTATGAGCTCTATCAAAAGTTATGTAACGACAGTGATGTACTTAATAAATGCAAGACCAACGAGGAGGAGGTAAAATCTCTTTTATACCATGAAATTCGCATCTGTATTTACATACATTGTTGATTGCATGCCTAGTATTTGTTAGAAAATTTTAAATTATAAACCACGCATTCATTTAAAAGCTTAAGTTTTTAGAATAGTTGGTAGTGGTACCACAAAATTTTACAGAACCAAGGGATCCCGAGTTTAAATCTTTTCAGATTTCTATTTGCCTCTTCAATTACATATTTCTGCATTTTGGGCTTAGACCAAAGTTCAGCCTAGGTATGTTTGGGACGTCGAAAATGCAGAGGTAAAGGATGAATCAAGGAGTTCTACTAAATGCTGAGGATCGAGGTGCTTTAATCAAGTTTGTTAAAGCTAACAAGAAGTCATTTTCATGGTATTTTGATTTTACATATTGGCGGATAAAGTTGCCCTATCGATTAATCACGATTGGAGGATCGATTATACGATCGATTCAGACATAGCAAATGGATGGATTGACTTTTTGAGTTCAATTTGTAGGTATGCCTGATCATGGCTTGGACCTTTTATTTTGGCTTAACTCTATTCATTGTCTACGGGATCGTAATAGGTAACATAAAGATGGGCGTCAGGTTTTTCACCATTCAACCATTGAAAACAGTATAGTTGTAGTGTAAGAACAATTATATAAATTTAGAGTGCGAACTCGAGAAAACTAATACATGTAGAGAGAGAAAATTTCAGACTCCCAATGTGGCTTGGGAGAAATTATCTAAATTTATTGTACGGATGTCAATTCAGTCGTAAACTTTTCAATTTTGCTAATTTAGATGTCATATAATTCAAAATTGAATACATATTAAAGAATCGGGGGGTGGAGGGGGGTTCTTATTGGCGCCTCGTGACACTTTTACTCGCCGCAACCGGTTTTTCTTATGCTCATAAAAAAAGAGAGGTTAATATCCACAATGGATAAGGATTAGATATGAAAATTCCGCAACAACCCGACATTAGACTCGGCAAAAACAAACTTTTCCCTCGGTAATCTGCCTAAACCTGCCCTAAAAAATAGGTTGTGGGAGAAATATTTTCGACCCACAAAAAACCAAGTCGACCCGACCCAATACGAGAATAAGCTTCTTTTTCCTTTTTTGGCTTGAATCATGATTGAAAATTGAGATAATGACGTCGGTGATCTCTTTATTTTTGCCTGCAATTCGAAATCATCTCTTTGTCATTTTTATCGGCGTCCAAAATCGTCCTTATACTTTTTAAAAAAAATTATACTGTTCTTCCTTCTTCGATTTGGTGACGGACTTTGCTAACGCGAACTTAATCGCGTTAAAGAATTACCGTCGTGGGATTTTTTTTTTTTTGCTACTAAGATTTTTTCGACTTACATGGACACGCTCCCCTTCCTCTCTATCTCTCTCCTCTCATTTCTACAATTGTTTTTTTCTTCTTTTTTCTCGCGATTGCCATGGCCACGGAGCTCGAGCCCAAAGCTTGAGGTAGAGGAGCTCGAGCTAGCCGTGGCCACGGCTGCTTGAGCTTTGAGTTTGCGAACATGACCGCTCTCTCCTCTTTTCTCTCTGTCGCGCCAAATCGTGACGTGCAAAATAATAAGGATCATCTGTGAGATTGCCCCTAGTAGGAGCTTTATTTCATAAACATATTTTTCTTGTTTTTCTATATTAATAAACAAAAATTATACTCGGTGCAATGTTTTCTTTCTAAATATTTTATACTCGGTATAAATTTATCATAATGCACCGAACAAATTAGTTTTGCGGTTATTATAATAAAAACTATCGTAAGTTCACGACCAATGCAAATTTTTTATCCATTCATTTGTCGAAGATAAAATTTTTTGTGGATTTATATTCGCACACACGAAAAATATGACTTATTTAAAAAAAAAAAGGGAAAATTTCAATTAAGGACCCAAAGTGAGGTCAAATTCTCAAATAAGGATCCAAAGTGAACATTGTGTCAAATAAGGGTCTGAAGTGCACAATCAGTCTCAAATAAGGACCCGAAGTGTCCAAAAAATCTCAAATAAGGACTTGGGTCTCCAGCCGGCCAAAATACCCGCCGGCCGGCGAGAAAGTTACTGTTCCGGCACCGGAACAGTAATTTTTCATTTTTTTATTGTTTTTTTCTTTTCCTTTTTTTTTTTCTTCTCTTCCTCCGCCGGGGCCGGCGACTCAGGCGAGGCTGCCCTCGCCGGCGTCGGGCGAGGGCCGCCTCGCTGGGCCGGGCGAGGCCGGCCTCGCCCACGCCGGCGGGGCGACCTCGCCCTACGCCGGCGGGGCCGAGCCCTCGCGATCTGGCGAGGCTCGACTCGCCGCAACCGGGCGAGGCCGGCCTCGCCGACCCGGCGGGCCGAGCCCTCGCCGTGATCTGGCGAGGGCTCGGCCCGCCGGCCGGCCGGGCGAGGCTCGACCTCGCCTCGCAACCGGGCGAGGCCCGACCTCGCTCGCAATCGGGCGGCCGGCCTCGCCCCCCGGGCGAGGGCGGCCTCGCCGGCGCCGGCGAGGGCGGCCCGCTGAGGCCGGCGAGGGCGACCTCGCCCGGCCCGGGCGAGGCGGCCCTCGCCCGGCGCGGCGACCTCCGCCGGGCCGGCTATGGCCGCGGAGGAAGAGAAGAAAAAAAAAAAAGAAAAGGAAAAGGAAAAGGAAAAGGAAAAGAAAAAAACAGAAAAAAAATAAAAAAAATGAAAAAGTTACTATTCTGGTGCCGGAACAGTAAATTTTTCGCCGCCGGCCGGTATTTTGGCCGGCCGAGGACCCAGGTCCTTATTTGAGACTTTTTGGGCACTTCGGGTCCTTATTTGAAACTGATTGAGCACTTCAGGCCCTTATTTGACACAATGTTCACTTTGGGTCCTTATTTGAGAATTTGACCCCACTTGGGGTCCTTAATTGGAATTTTTTCAAAAAAAAAAAAGGTGAGAAAATGGTCAATCTGCTCCATGACCGGGACCCGAACCCGCCGAAAACCCGCCCGATTTCAATGAAAAGACTCATTTGGCCCCCGAAAAGCTGCAAAATCTCCAAATTGCCAAAACTCCGACCAATTTTTTTCCCTCCACTTTCCTCAAGAAAAACACAAATTCGAAAAAAATCCTCTCCGCAATGCCTTCCTCAAGCTCCGCCGACCGCCGCCGCCGCCGGACCGCCACGACCGCCGCCGGCGCCGCCCTAACCCAGCCTCCGCCGTCCATGCCCAGCACCCACGGCGGCGGCGACGACGACGACGATTTCCAAACTCGCCCCAAGCTCAGCTGCTCCCAGAAACCCCTCCAGCTCTCCACCATTTCCTCCAACCGCACTCGCCCGACCAAGAAGCCGAAGCGGTCTTCCCCAGCCCTTGGCAAGGAAAACGCCGTCCCCGCCTCGGCGGTTGGTCGGAGCGGCCCCGAGCCGCGTGAGTCGCTCGGTCGGAGGGCTGTCGGCTCATCCGATGCGAGCAAGGGCCGCGGCGCGGCGGATGATTTCGAGCTGACCGATGCTGATTGCAGCTTGGATTTGATAGAGTCGAGCATCGATTGCGAGCGCGCGCCCGTGGATCGGCACGTGGCGGAGGGCTGTGGTAGAGCTAGCGAGAGAAATGAGAAGCTGGAGGTGAATAAGGGCTATTTGAGCCACTCGATTGAGTCTAGGTTGATGAAGGCAAAAGTAGATTTTGGATTCAGGGATGGTGGTAATTATAGAGGTTTTGGTGGGGTTGACAAGAATGAGAATAATGGGTCGGTGGTGAATGGGGGTTCTGGTAGCAATTCGATCGAGTCCAGGTTGATTGCAGCGAAAGCGAATTGTGGGCTGAGTGACGTTGGTGATGATAGGGTTTCCGGTGTGCATGATGACGAGTGTGATGAGCAATTCGAGGTGGGTGCGGACCTTGATCTGTTGATTAAGCTGTGTGATGATGAGGGACCCGTGCATTACTCCGATGACAAAGCTGGAGAGGAAGCAGAGGATGGTTGGGATTGCGATAGCGGGTTGGTTTGTTGTCCTTTATGTGGCGTGGACATTTCAGATCTGAGTGATGAGTCAAGGCAGATACATACCAATGATTGTCTTGACGAGGGAGAGGCCCAAGTCGATGAGGCAAGTCTACTAATCTTCTCAAGCATAAATTGCCATTTGTTGTACTTCTGTATGAATTATCAGGTGCAGTATCTGTGCGGTATGAACTTTTAGCATTGGTTCACCAGCACTAGCTGTAAAATTGTAGGCTCCGTTTGTTTCGTGGAAAATGAATGATTTGGAAAATATTTTCCTAAATATGATTGCTTGTACGGCTTACAAAAAATGAATGAACAAAAAATATTTTCATCGTTCACGAAAATTTAGATATAAATTGTTGTCGATAATGAAAACAATATGCATTAACTAATTATTTCAAACAATACAAGGGATCACTTTTAGGAAAATAGTTTCCAAATTATATATTTTCTGCGAAACAAACGGAGCAAGTCATACTTTGTTCATGTCAGATCGATGAGAAAAAATCCTGAGTTGATAATGAGAAAATTTCCCTGCAGCATCTTATGTTCCTTTTCATGAAAATTACTGACAAAATTACACATTTTGACCCATGGAACGCATTATGCTTGACAAAAATTGACTAAGTTCTTGGCCAGTCACTTTATCCGTAGGAACAATCCGCCCTTGATAATACCCTGTACAGTGGCACACTGATATGAATAAGATGATATCGGGACACTATGTTGGCATCTCATCCATGGCTAATGAGAAATGATTAGGAAACCCATATCAAGCGCATTAAATTGTTCACGTTTGTGGTTGTATTCTCTGTACTGGAACATCACCTCTTTGGTTACTAACTTCCTTTGTGGCTCTCTTCAGAGCTCTTATGCGTAAGGCATACAAGTTGACAGATGGAAAGATGAGCTCTCCTCATACTTCCATCTCTTTTTTCCACAAATAAATAGTGGATCCAGATAATACAGCTTCATCAACTGGAATGCAAATTATCTCTACTGGTTCAAGCAGGCATTTTCATTTTGATGTATATGTGTAGCAATATGTTGCTTTGTGT